TTTTATTTGTGGGGGGAACTATTTTATTCTTTAAAAAAAAAACATTTTTTTTTGCTGCATTATCTCCATCTACAAACCATATGTGCAGCGTTGTCTGTAACTGCAGGGTGTTCGCTGCTCAGCCTCCATTTCTTAATGTCTTCAATCAACCTATTGGCTTTATTTGCAGCTGTCTGGCTTGAAGTCATCTTGAGAGCATCTTTCCTGCTCATTTGAATGTGAACGTCACGCGGGTCACTATAAAATTAATCGATCTCATTTCTTAGACATTGATTTTGCAAAAATGTAAATGAATCAATTCAAAATCGATTTTTTCCCCCAGCCCTAGTCCTTAGGAGGTGTAGGATTAGTTTCACACATCAATACATAAGTTTGTTTGTGAAAGTTACAAAAAATATTCTAATATTTGAAATTTTATTTGTATTTTTGAATACTTAAGTACTTTTAAATGCATGTATTTTTAAATACTTAAGTATTTTCAAAAGTGAGTACTTCAATGCTATAACTTGAGTAGATGTTTAGATGTAACTTTTACTTGGATTTTAGTAAGATTTGACTATGAGTATCAATACTTTTACTGAAGTAGTAATTTTGAGTATTTCATCCAAAACTGGTGAAAGGATATAATGAAATGAACCAAGAACATATGAACAAAACCCAGATCCCTAATGATTGCTACCTTTTTTAGAACGCGGAGCTCGACGTTCTCGCCCGCCGTCCGGAACATCTCCACCACTTCTCTGTGAGTCCGGTTCTCCAGTGAGAGTCCATTTATCTACAGCAGAACAAACACAGCCAACTCTGATCAAACATCTCTGCAGCTGGGCAGCGGTTAATCATTCCTTTCACTTTTTAAAACTGGTCCTAACCTTTGAATGTCTCACAGTCTGTCATGTTAAAGCTTCTGTATTTAAATTGGACTTTATGTGAAACACCAATACAATAGAGAGTGAAGTAAAATCATGCATGTTTTTTAAAAATAAGAGTAAACACTTTGCTACTCCAGATAAAAGGCAGAGCAACCATTTGGCTACAAAACTCACCTCACCAGTTTTAGTCAACCTGAGTGTAATTTAATCTCTATTTATTAAAAGATGTCCTGTGAACGCCTCATAGGTAGATGAACAGCCAGCCTTATAAAGAACCAAAGATCGACGGAAGAAAGGGCAGAAAGAAGGTATTTGAGAATTTTAAACTAGTATTATATTATAAACTTTTTAACAGCTTTTCCATCACATGGAAATCCAGCTTTCAAAGATGGAAAGGGTCAAAGCAAACCGACAAAGACATGAATATCCACCTAAACAGGTGGATAAAAGAGCCAAAAGGTCCATGGTAGGAGCTGCAGCTATTCGTCCAGAAATCACATCCACCCTCATAAAAACATGGTGGTGGCAGCATCATGGTGAGGGGACACTCTTCTTAAAGGGCTTATGCCATAATCATCTTTTAGAGCTTTTAACTGTGTTTTCATGCTATTCCTTCCTCAAAATCATGCATAAAGGGACATTTTTTGATGCATGAATTTCTGAGTTGACCTCATGGGTTCTGCAATCTGATCAATCAGCAGCCCAGGACTTACATATGAAAACCAGCAGTTGGAGAATGTGTTCATATTGGAAACAAACTGAATTTATTAGATTACTGAGGGTTGATGTGAGACAGAATGTGATGACTGCGGTTAGAGCAGTGCGCTTCTGCTCTGAGAAGGTTGCAAGAACCTGGTTTGATCCCCACAGCCTCCACTCTGGGTTCCTGAACAAAAGCCTTAACCTCCGATTGCTCCCTGCGTGCCGCACAATGTCTGCCCACTGCTCCCCAAGAGGATGGGTCAAAATGCAGAGAACAAACTTCCCCATTGTGGGACGATAAAGGGATTTCCTTTTTTCTAGCAGCTGACCTGCACAGGGCAACAACCTCTCCATATTAGCTCATGTCCAAGTCATAAAAACGAATTCCTTTGGCTGTGAGGGTCTCACGCCTCCAGCAGTGGTGTGATATGGTGACACCATTAAATAAAGCCCATACAGGGAAAGGCAGCTTCTCTTTGAAGGCAAAATGTTTCCTTGGGTTTGGAAGAAAACAGCCGTAGTTCATAACAAAGTTAAACAGCGTAGATTTCAATCTAATAACCTGGAAATGGATGTTCACAGACTTTCTCCATCCATTCTGATCCCTCTGCACTCTTCAAAAAGAAAAGAAGTCTGGAAATTTCAACAAATTCCTGCCATGTCACAATAAATGACATGGTCCTCCTCTTATATCCCCAAAATACACTCATTTTTACGGCTGTAGTTTGACAGAGTGGGAACAACTGATGAAAAATAAACAAACTTAATTTACAGCAAGAATCTTGTCTTCCTCTTTCAGCCGTCCATCAAGCGCTGCTGCTCCATCTTCCTTTATTTTACTCACAAAGATGCCATTATCATCCATCCTGCATGGCTGGTCCACACCCCCAAGAATATTAAACCCTAGACCTACAGAGCATAGAGTAAACATAGATATAAATCAGTCAGGCAGTAAAAATCAATGAGCAAAAGAACAGAGAGGAAGCCATCCCATTTAGATCAAAGTACAAAAACAGGTGCAGTTTTAAAGCTGGTCTGACATCAACAATAAATTTAAACAATATAACTTTAAATATTACTGCAATGGCTTCATATGAGCATACTGTAAATATAGGATTAATGCTACTTTTTCACTAATTAAAAACCCACTTTGATGATTTCGATATTCAATATTTATCTAAATGTATATTTCTTCACCCTGACGAGCAAATTATGAGGCTGACACAGGATGAAAACATTAAACAGAGCAGTTTATTCATCAGTTAGCCTTTAGCTGCTGGCTTTTTTGCTGCTACGTAGTCAGCTAGCATCTATGCTAACTCTCTGACCAGTATTCTCCTTACCTGCAGGTCCCCGCCGCAGTTTTATATCCACATATTTTGTATGAGGAATCAAAGAGCCGTTCATTTTTGCCAAGACTCCCAAACGATGAAAACCAGAGAGGGAAACAAACTATTTCTGTGAAGCTGGACTCATGGAAGAGTTTCGATTTTACCTCTTTGGCTGCAGTCAGGTTGTTTATGTGCTGCCCCCTGATGGCAATACCAGGAACCGCAAGGCTGACCTTTGAATTAATATTTTTTTTTTTAAATAACAGTATTCTAACCAATATATTTACCTACTTTACTTTATATTCAAAATGTAATAGTCACACATCCTCTATTTTTTATCTAATATAATTACTTTTTATTATTAACAATATTTTGAATTGTTTTATTTTATTCTTTTTTTAATTTAAGACTAAACTAACCTTTGCTACCAGACTAAATAATTTTTTTCCCAGTTTTATTTTTTTGTTTGTTTTTTTACTTATATGGCTAGTGTTAATCCCTGTCTATCATTGTGATACTGGTAAGTATTTTGAGCTCTTGGGGGGAAAAAATGCAAAAAAGTATTTCATAATTTTGTGAGAAATTTGCCTTTTCAATTCCCATCCAGACAGATTGGCAAGATGCGTAAAAAGATTTCATATAAACATACCTTGCACCTAATATTTAACAAAAAAAAAAACTCAACCTTGAACTTCTGATTTGTGTAAGTTAATCAATTGGGGGGAAATCATGCAAAAATCATTGGTGGGACAAAAAGGAAACCATATTTTGCTGGTATGAAAGCATTTTTTTTTTTAATGAGATTTCATGTTGAAACAAACAGAGGATTGGATCATTTCTTTCAGCATCAGAAGAGAAAAAGGTCCTCCATAATAATTCTCTCACATGCAGAAGAAGTTAAACATTATGGCATAACGTATAGCAGAATTTGACACTAATAAAAATGTTTTTTCTTAGTGTTTATACATCTGGGATAAGCTATTTAGATTTTAAATTTTATTTAAATATATTTTAATGTCTAGGAAAAACATGACATCGCAGAAAATACTATTCACTCATAAAATTCACATCTATTATTTAGAAAGTTTAAATTCTTTTCAAAACTCACTGGAAAACATTAGAAACCTAATTGATCTTGATTGAAAATGCATCACAGACCCTGGATCTCCAAAGCTGAGCAGATAAACAGAAGCAGTGCAGATATTCTTTGCCCTGACAAAGAATCTTTAGTTTAGATATTTCACCAACTGTTGGATATGATAGTATGAGGAAAGCACATCATCAATCAAGACTCTGGTTTTCACTTATTCATTTACCTCCAGAAATGATGAAGTACAGCATCAGGATGAATAATAAAAACTACTTTGCTCATTGGCCAATGCTGCTTTAAATGTCTATCATTCACCTGCTGTAGCTATGCAGTGTCACACACCATTAAACATTTGTTGAAGCTGGAAGACACTTGATAATGTGCATATGCCACAGATTAGATCCCAATTTTGTAAGCATGGGAATAAAAAAAAGAGCTTTCATGAGTCGAGATTTGATGGACAGGTAGTTTCATTCTAGTTTCAAAAGTGGCTTATTAAAATAATAAAAATAAAAAAAATATATATATATATATATGATTCAGCTGTAATATCAAGGTGTTACTTTATTGTATCTCTTATACTATATCCATTGGTTGTTACATCTCTTTGCAGGTGATGATGTTTAATTGTTATCTCCCTTTCATCTCCTCTTTTTTGCTTTTCTGTTGCTGTTCTACTTACATTGCAGTGTCCATATAATCTGTAAAACTCCCTGCATGCATTATAATAAAGCAATTTATATGCATAAATTAAGCAGAACACTATGGCAATAGTCGTACTGCTCCACTTGTGAAAGTAAAATCTGTTGGGCCCCAAAAAAAAAAAAAAAAAAAAACATATATATATATATATTTAACAATTCTCCAAGATCTGCAAACTAAAAGTTAAAAACTGTGACGGCACAGAAGTTTAAAGTTTGATGCTTTTTATTTAGAAATTCAAAATATGCACCAGTCCTCTTTGGCACAAAGTCAGAGAAAGCCATCTAGTATCTATTTTTTATTTCAACAATCCTTGAAGCCTTGAGCTGAGGAGAACAGGAGCAAACACTGTATATAAATAGTGAGCTTTCAAAGAAACGCCATGATTAGCCTACTGTAGGTGACTCCAGAGGGTCGGGTTGAGCTTTAAAATAAAAGTGAACCTTCAGCATCACAATTTCATGCACAAACGTTGGATCATGTTATGACAAAAGGAAAAAAAAATGAAACACATGTAGACAAAACACTGCTACTCAGCAGAGGTTACATGAAATGTATGAGACGCTGCTTCCTTCCAGCTTTGCTTACAATCTTATTTTACTCAAAATTAATGACTGATTCCGAACACGGGACACATTAAATTGACTCAATTTTCTTCTACAAAGGAATACTTAAAAAGAAAAGGGAAAAAAAATAAGTTTAACGGATTTTATGATTTTAATTGAAAACTTAATTTTTAAATTAGAATTTGTTTAGTGTGAAAAATAAGAATTAGAAAATAAAATATGATCAAGTGCCGACTTAATTCAATCTGAGTCACTCTTTTCAATAAATGTGCCAAGTGAGGGACGATTGCACTTTGCAGGGTGTATTTGCAGCTCCATCATGCATGGAGGCGGCCGTCCGTTACATCAGCTAATAATTTGAAGAGGATCTCCAGGACAGCCTGGGTCTCCGGTTCAGATCATGCTCGGGGCGGCGCTGTACAGGATGACGTCTCCAGTGACCCGCAGCAGGGTCACCTCTTCCAGACCGCCCACTCTGTGCTCATATTCCAGCAGGTGGGTGCCGTCCACAGCCACTTTGAACATGTCCTCTTCAACTAGGATCTTCAACTGAAAGAGCAGCAAGAGAAATATGACGGGTTACTTCATTTAATCTGCATTTTCATCCCAAATTTATATATGTATTTAAAAAAAAAGGCATTCCAACTAGGGCTGGGCGATATGAAGAAAATCTAATAACATATATTTTGGCTATATCGATACATATAAAGATATGTTTAAATTAATTTAAAAAACAATAGAGTGCATAAAATTGCTCTTATATACTCATTCTAACTTATGGTTTCAAATTTAAAACATTTTATTTTAACCAGCTCAAAGCGTTTCACTAATAATACTCACTCATTATGTCTTTTGGTGTCAGTATTAGACCTTTAACATGATTGTAGCAACCAAAAAGGAAACAAAGCAAATAAAATGCTAAATAAACAAGCGCTCTTTTGTGAATAATTAAAAAAAGCGGAATGATAAAAGAAAGTGATCTCAAGAAAAAAAAAAAAAAAAAAGACGAAGTACTGTTAAAAAAATATGAGCATTATATGAGCATTTCAAAACTATTTGCATTGATCTTTACGTGCTGGAAATTTTGAAGAAGCACAAAAAGTTGTAAAATTGAGAACATTGCTAACTTTAGAAAAGTTCCGCAAAACCGTCTGAACAAGGTCACATCACAGGTATTAGAGCAGGGGTCACCAACCTTTTTAAGGCTGAGAACTACTTCATGGCTACTAAGTCATAAGAAGGGCTACTAATGCTGGCCTATAAACTTTTAATTTATCATTTTCTTCTAGATAATGTAATTTTTAATCTGTATTATTGTCTAAATGCTCTATAAACTATTAAAAAAGAAGAGCAACATTGTCAAATTAAATTTCAATGTGAGTTATTCTGTTTTCACAGGACGCTGAGGGCCCCCATGTTGTCCTGGAGGGCCCCTCTGTGCCCACGGGCACCGTGTTGGTGACCCCTGTATTAGAGCATCTTAATAACGTTTGTGATTTCCCTCCATCTCTTCCTTTTTCCCTCATATTTAATTGCTTTTTCAACCAACGAGGCCGACATTATCGGCTTCACAGCTGATTTATTTAACGTTTTAATTGGTGAGCGGGGAGCGTGAACATGCGGTTTACAACATTCTTCATTTTGCAGCAGATTACTTTTTAGGTGGAGGAATTAATTTGTACTTCTACCTTTTGCAGTGATTTGGTTTTTTTCAGCACGTCTTACAAATTAGCGCCTTTTGTTGGATGTATAAAGAGTATAATTAAAATGCAGGTAGAGAGCATCTGACCTCAAAACGGCAGCCCTGGACAAAGGGGAAGGGCCCCTCACGCTCCTCTGGGCCCCAGTGGCCTCCAAGGTTGGAGTTTCGGACAACGGTTTGCTCCGTAAAGCGAGGGTTGAAGTGAAAGACGATATCGGAACCTTTAATTAGCTCAACCTGGAACCTGAGGAAAAATTACATTACATAAGATTAAATCAACAACAACAAAAAAAAAGAAATAAAAAGCTAAGGACTCCCCCAAACACACACACTTTTTAAAACATAAAAATATTTATTTTAACAATATATTCTAAAAAAAATATCTCCTCGAACTTTTTCAGGTTACAGCCACAGGTTTCAATTTCTTTTTTTATTATTATTGCAAACAGAGAACAAACAAGAACAACATAGAACCTTAATAATTACACTCAGATACAACATCAAAGGGCTTTATAGAATATAGAGCAATTATTTTATATCAAAATCCAACCTGTACTCGAGGGTTGCAACGCTTTAAGGGCAGTTATCATTTGAATAGCTTTAGCATTTAAGCTAAATTTTAAGAATTCTATGCAGATATTAATAGAGGACAATAAAATCTAGAATTTTTTATTTTTTGTAAATATTTGGAGCTGTGAATATGTTATTTACCGTAAATCACAAAATAAAGTAATATTGAGATTTATTTGATGAAAAAAACCTTGACATATCTCTCCAGAATATTTTGGTTTAGTTACGATCCCAAAAAAGATGAATAAGCTTTTCTTTATTAGGTCCAAATCCCATTTATATCTTTTTATCAAAAATACTAAAACATGATAAACATTATGAATAACTTTAAAGAAACTTCTCTTACATTGTTTATCAAATATTCTTTAAGGAGAGTCTACTTCCAATTTATATTTTCAAATATGCTGGACTAGTAAAATATACAAGCTTGTGAAAAAACAACGACTCGTAATGTTTTTATGCGACTGCCCCAAATAAAAGAGGGAGATTGTGAAGTGGAAGGAGTAGTTCCTTATTAGAAGCCACATTTCAGAGCAAAAGCTGCCTCAAGTGTTTTAGGGTGCGTCTTTACCAGATTTTTAAACTCGGAACATTATTTCAAATCTTTCTACTCTGCAAAACAGCTAAATCAAATCTGCAATCTGTTGCACTGGATAAACGATCTAATAATACCGGGTAAGTAAAAATTTCACAAATTAAGTGTATTAACCCGTAATTTGAAAAGGTAAATCAGATGATTTGCAATGGAATGAGTATTTTTACTCTTAAAATAAGATAATTAGATAACATACACTTGAAATAAGACGAAGCAATTGTCTTTTCTTATTTTAAGTATAAATTTTCTTGTTCATTGACCAAATGTCTCTTTTACCTCCTCCATCAAGAACAAATGCACTTATTTTAAGACAAAATGACTTATCGAGATTTAGATTTTTTCCCCAGTGTGATCAAAGAAATATTTATGATCTAAATCACAAAATGTCGAAGTGAAGTTTAAATTTGCAAACTCTTGCCGGTAGGAGCTGTTGCTAGTTCAGCAAGTTTCCCCCGCATGGTGCTGTCTCAAGTAGTTACTGGTTTTCCCAGGTGTGCTGCGGGGAAATTCTGTCCATGGTGACGCCATGCGGAGTGCGTGAGGCTAAAATGACATAATTTAATTGCGCAAAAACAATAAGCATAAATTTAACTTAAAGGTTTACAATTAACATTGCTTTTTTCCCCCAGCTTCAACCATTTTAGCATAAATTTATAACAGATTTCTAAGTTCTACAGAACCAAAGGACCCCCACAGCATGCTACAGCCACTGTCATGTTTACCAGCGGCCATCTGTTTGGGTTGATGTTAAGGTTTAGATTTCTATCGTACGCCAGGTCAACGCGTTTAATCAATTAAAATGACTAAAAGTTTTGGTTTATAAAGATTTTATTTTTGGAAAATCAGGATTTATTCCACTCCTTAGGCTTCCATAGCTCAGAGTGACATCCATTCATCTTTTTTATTGTGTAATCACAACTTATAAACTTGCTAACTGTGTGATACTAGCTGAAAACATTTAGTTTGTTAAATTTCCATTCTTTGCTCTGAAACAATCACTTTTCATGCATGTTTCACTGCATGAATTTCATTGCATTTTATATTAGGGTCACCTCCTGAAGGGGATAACACAACACAAAGCTAGATATTAAAGTTTTAAAGTCATTTTACGAGGAATCTTAAGTGAGAAAAAAATAAATGGCTGTTCTGTACATCACCCAAAAAGTTCAATCTTGGTCTCACGATACAAGAACTGTTTTTTATTTTTATTGTTTTATGTTTGCTCCATCTCTTGGCCTCTTAAAGGGCAGATTATACTTCTCCAGCCGCACACATCAAATTTTGCTTGGGTCTGATCGCATATCAGTTTTGCTGTTATGCTTCTGCGCCGTCGGTCTGGAATTTCTAGGGACGCTCAGCAGTTTCCCGCCAAAGCGCAGGGGGGAGGCTATTGGAGAACTAACAAGAACTTTGGCAGGTGGTCACGAAAACTTTGGCGACGCCGGCGGGAGTGTTTATCTTCCAAAACAACAATGGCGCATCTGCAAGATGTCACGGAGATTGATCTAGAGTTGCTAGACATCGAAGAGGAACAGGTTCTGTTAACGGAGTTGGCAAAAAGACTGATTAACCTTTCGTCGTAGTTTTCCATTGTAGTTGTTCCTTGATTTTTAAAAATGGCGCGCCCCGGCACCAAATCGAGAAGGACGACCACACAGACAGTCGGAAAGGCGTACCAAGGACCAATCACAGCTGCTTTTTGTCTGTGCACTTCCACTTCAGGTCTGCGCGGGTTTGCGTCCGACGCGTTGTCAGGATTTTTGTTAGATGCGCGAGGACGGTTGCAGAACCACTGCGCGGGGGGCGTGGTCGCCACAGAGAGATTTGACGGATGCAGAGGCTATGCGTCAGAAGCATAAATTGGCCTTAAGGCAACTAGTGACCGGGATCTTATCTAGCAATGTAGGAGAAAACAGGAAGGAACAGAAATTGATGGAAACTTCTATCGAACTTTATTTGCAAGCCTTAAGATCCGTCTATTCCCTTCCAGTTCATAGTTTGCAATACTTTGTGCCAGCCTCTCACAAATGTCAAGGACTAACAATTAGTTAGACTGTAGACTGAACATGTGAGGAAGTTAAAGAGGTCAGAACACTATCAGATGCACGATTCAACTGTTACTCATAAATGAGTGGCAGCACTGATAGACTCCTGTAACAGGCTTCAACTTTATGCTACTTTGATGGATTGGAGGTTGAGCTGTTCAAGTGTTTGCTTCCTTCCTGAAGTGACTTTGAAGAGACTAAGGATTGCTTTAGGAAATGTGTACCTTTGTGCACCAGGGACGGGTTCTCCAATTACTGTGATTAAAAGTCGCGGCATAATCCCAGCATGGAGGGGGAGATCATAAGGCACCATCTGGAAGAAATGTTTACAGTGTAAATAATGACAGTATTTGTTCTCCTCCACTAAGGAAGAAATATTCAAACATTCTTTCAATGCTTTTTTTTATTTATTACAGTTTCTTTTAAGGATGCAAAAGGAGAAATGGCGTTTACCCAGCTGATAATATCCTGATGATGAGATCCAGGTTTCTATTATGCTGAATTCAACGAACCAAGCAATAAGCTAAAATGCACAAAAAATTGATGCTCCTCACATTCCCACTGCAATACCTCATTCTCTCCATTTGTTTCAGCACTAAGGAGTAGGTCACACTGACCGGTAGGATGTGGGGCATTTTTCACAGTAAATATCCAACATCTGCACAAACCAAAACCTGAGCCACATGGAACCAATCAATCAAAGTTTTTATTAAAATCATACATGAAAGGGACAAGCCAGAGCTGAATCTGACAAGTGCTGATAGATTACACCAATAGATTAAAGTTGCACTGATTAGGTAAACATCATCTGTAAATAATAGTAAATTAGATCATATTGCACTTAAAGAATTAAATCCTGGAGATTTAACACTGCATCTGAACGCCAGTCGTTTATATGCATTTTGGCACCGATCAAACCACGAGATGAGGCTGGATGGGATGTCCGTGTCCGACTGAAAAGTTGAGTTCATTGCTTTCATTAATATGGTGGATTATATCTGGGCTGAAAGACAGAAATACATTCCTGTTGACTTCCACTAAACAAACATTACTATGACTTTATATTTGCATTGCACCCAAGCAGAGACCAAGATGGGAAACATGTAATCAAATGCACCTCTTAGGCAGATCCCACCAGCAAATGCAGAGAAATAACTTTCAAATGAACGAGCCTTTAGGAGCCGACCCCCAGATGGTTTTCCCTCAAACACCAGATAGGATTTACAAAAGAAAGGGAAAAAAATCCAGCAAGTAAGCAAGATATAACGTCGAGGAAGAGCTTGTACTCACCAGTGTGCCTCCTGGACCGGCAGGACCCCCATACGGACCCATGGGTCCAGGACCATAGGGAGGAGGAGCAGGGGGGAAACCTCCCCCTGGTGATCCCCATGACCCAGGTGGGATTGGGGGGAAACCACCACCAGGGAATGAAGGGAAAGATCCTGGACCGGCTGGAGGGGGGAATCCACCTTGACCTCCTGGTCCGTACTGCCCATTGCCTCCAGGGAATGGCACATTTGGATAAGGGCCAGCGGGAGCACCAGGACCAGAGGGGAACGGTCCTGCTGGGTAAGGAGCCGGGCCTCCCGGTAGCTGTCCAGGAGTTCCTTCAGATGGATACTGCCCAGGGAACTGTCCAGGCGCCCCTGGACCCGAGGGAAACTGACCCGGAGCTCCAGGAGCAGGAGGATATTGTCCAGGTACTCCGGGGCCAGCAGGGAAGCCACCAGGTGCTGAGGGAGGCCCCGGGTATTGCCCCGGTGCTCCGGGACCTGAGGGGTACTGGAACGGCCCCGGAGCTCCTGGGCCAGAAAAGCCACCGCTGAAGTCAGCTGGTGCTGAGGGCTGAGAGGGGGCCCCAGGGGCGGATCCGGGCCATCCTGGGTTTGAAGCAGGGGGATAGTTGCTGGCGGGAACAGCTGGATTAGTGCTTGTTTTCTTAGCCTGGCTCGGTGTGTCGTCTCCTAAAGCATCAGACAGCTGCAGACAGAGAGAGAAAGTACAAATGACCGTCTCCACCCACAACAAAAACAAGTTATTTCCACAGCAAACTAAAAAAGGAATCCAGCTATTTCAACATGGATTAAATACAAATAATCAATAAACTCACCGAGAAATCTGACATGATCTAAAAAAAAAATAGAAAAAGAGACTTAATTTAGTTTGAAGTACTTCGAACACATTTTATCAAGCAGTAAATATCTGTGGGCAGGTCCAAAAAGCTCTGAGTAAATGTTTCCACCCTGAAATGGTGAATCATAAAGTCCACAGCGACGGAGAGAAAATAACTCAACATCAGTAAAACATTAAAAACAACAACATTATAACAAGGAAGAGCCTCTAAATCACAGTGGAGGCGGTGGGAATGTTTTAGCAATGTGAAAAACTACTGATATTCTCGGCTAACCGTTTAGCTAACCCCTGCTAAGTTTAGGTTTGTTTGGTCTACATTTATGGTAAGAAAGAAAAATAGAGAGCTGATGTTATACGATACCTGTTTAAAAGCAAGACACTTGTTGAATGACAGCTGGTGACGTTTTTAGAAGCTCCGAAACCCTGTTAGCCAACTCCTTTAGCCTGGCGCTGCTAAGCAGTGGAAGCTAACGGTAGGTGTGTTTGGAAAAACTACACTTCCTGCAAAGGAGCTCGCGGAGCCACTTCCGGTGGAAACACCTCCAAATCCGCCCCCAGAAACATCTTTCAAAAATTTTCCTTTTTCTATTTTATTAATATTTGCAATAATCATAATCTTTTTTTTCTAAACAAATCCAGATATGTAAACATTAGATGGACGAAAATGTTTTACCATCCTAAGCAAAAACCTCAAAACGACTCTTTAGTTACAATTTACAGTAAAAGGAATAGACTGACAGACAGATTAAAAACTTTATTTAACCTTATAACACAATTCCTTAAATAAAAAAAACTATTTGCATCAAAATTTATAAAAACAGGGAAATCGTTTTTTTTTTTTTTTTTTTTTTTATTTAGTCAAAAACATCTACATGAAAAAATACTCTCAGAGAGGATAGCAAAGGTGTACATGAATAGATAAAGATCAATTAATAAAAGAAAAACAAAAAAGTAAGACAACTATCAGGGGATTTATCTCAGCAAACATTTAAATAAAACATAGACAGAGCCATAGAAATAATAAAAACAAAAAGGTGAATGCGCTTAGAATAGCAGATGTTTGGAGAAATCAATTCTCAATTTTTCGGCATATTTGTCATTTTTAAAAATCTTTTTAAGAGAAGAAAAATAGGTTTTAAAGTAATTAATAAACCAGTGAAAGGAAGGTTTAGAATTTCTCCATTTAGCACAGTGGATATGAAGGGAAATCGTTTTTTGTAAGCATATAATTTCCACTGATCAGGGGCGGAGCTAGATGCCCTTAGCCAATCATTGGCCACCCCTATCATTTTTTCCCCTCTAATACAGATGGTGGCAGCAGTAATACTCTCCAATGGAGTATTAATTTTAATTTTTCATATATTATTCAATATTTTTTATATATATTAATAATTTCTTGACAACAAAAAAAACTGTGGTTAATTATACACATCAATATACTAATATTAAAGATGATAAGTACAGAATTCATGCTCTTCTCAGAACTAGAATTTGTGTTATAGGGGTAAAGAGATAATGATCAGTCTCTGTGAGTCATCTAAGAGTCTTTAGTGAAATCATAGATGAATAACTATTTTAATAAAAACGTATTAAATGATTAATTTATTTAGATATTTGTACTTGTAAATATTAATTTTATGCAGAATGATTATGGATAAAAGCAGGCATGTAATGACAATAGAAAAGATGTTCTCCCCAGAACTCAAACCTGAAAGAATTTTTTCCACTATACCTTTAATCTAGCAAGCACAGATGTTTAAATACATGCGTATATTTGTTAGCAAAGGCTGTAGGAAAGTAGAGTAATTCTCATATTAGGCTTGACCCTGAGGTTCTGGGGGCCTACCCACCTTCAGCCACCCCTCAGTTTACATTGGTTATTGCCTGGCCACCCCTATAAACCTTTCTGGCTACGCCTCTGCCACTGATGCCTTTACACTATTCTTAAAATATAGTTCAAAATTTATTTTAAAACAGATAAAATTAACCAAACCCAAACTGTTCTGACATAGGCGGTTCTAGATAGGGACCGAAAGTCACAAGGGCCCCTGTACTTTGGGGGTAGTACTGATTACATATTTTATGATGATATGCACTGGCACAGAAACCATAACTTGGATTTAATTTGTTTTTTTCTTTTACAGTTTTTTAGACAGTTTATTTAAGGTGTTGAACTTTTAGTTTTAGCTGCAGTGGTACGGAATCACGGTTTTGTTCTGTTATATCTGGAGTATCCAGATATAACAGCTTTGGTTTTCCCAGGTTTGGTTCTGGGTCTCACTTAATGTGGCAAACTCTGAACTGTTTTTTGTGTGTGGATTATTTAGTTCTGTACCCCCATGAAAAAAAAAACAAAAAAACTTGGCCATGTTCATAGAAAAGGGAGGAACAAAGTAATTGACATCCAATAGTCTGGAAAGTGTTATAAAACCACTTGAAAGCTTCGAGACTTGAACAAACCGTGATCCATAAAAGCATAAAGTAAACTTGAAACAGTAATAAGCTGTCTATAGAGCTGCCATCAGACCAAAATAACTCCTATAACACATCAGCAAATAATGCAGGAGGTCACAAAGAAACCCAGAATAACATTTAAAGTTTGACCTCACTTTAGGTCAATATTGATATATAATTGAGCAATAAAAAAGAAATAGCAAAACAATGGAAACCTTTGGAGATTTTCAAGTCTGGGATCACTGATCATGAAGTTTGAAAAGGCCCATCTACCTGATATAAAATAAGAAATAGAAAAGACATTTAGAGGAAACGTCCTTGAAACATAATGGGAAAGCACTCTGTGGACTTCAAAGAACAATGACAATCTTTTTGCGAGGTGTGTGTCCTGTTGAATTTGATATAAATTTAACACAACGTTAACAGAACAAAAAAAACTCTTCCTGTCTGCAGTCAAACAGGATTGTGGTCATAAATTTGTCTGGTGTTGCATCAAACCTTCAAGTCCTGGACGAAGGTTCTTATTTAAAACTACTGTCTGCGCACTTTCATCTGGTTTAGTCTGCCGCGGCTTCCGTAGCGTCGTGATCGCGCATGTGCGCGCTTTCAGGAAATCCTATACACTACTGTTTATGCTCTAAAAACATTCTAAATGACTTCGTTTCGAGTAAATTCTGGACGCTACCCACTCAGGAAACTTGGAATACATTGGACGAGGAGTATGGAGGAATATTGAAACGTTTTTTGTGGACTTTTATGGACCTTTCTGCCTCGGGCGCCATAGACCTCCATTATTTGAATGTCAGCAGACAGCAAGAAGCCTCCCAGATCTCCAGATGCATTTGAGATATCAAAAAAGTATTCCAGAGTGTTGTTCAGCATGGGGGTGAGTAGAAAATGAAGGCTAATCATGTTTTGGGTGTACTATTCCTTTAAGTGGAATCGTAAATTGTATTTATTAATCTGTTACTATTTCTAAATGAAGATTTAAACACCAAATTCATAAATCTGATTATAAATACCTCTATAATATTTTTTTTTTTTATTTTATTTTTTAAATTTCAGTTATTGCTGTTTAATATCAGAAGCATTTTACATATATTGTATTAAAGTAAAAAAACCTGTGGCTTATTATTTAAAAAAGATATAGTTAATATTATATTTAAAAAAATAAAATCAGAGACTTTTTCTAGATTTAACCGAGTTACTAGTCTGCATTTACCAAAACACTCAGACTGTAATGACAGAGAACTAAATAAATTAAAATGTTCATGATAGCGATACATAAAAAAAAATAAGTAAATAAATAAATAAATAAATTGGAGACATGGTAAACAGATAAACATTTGTGCCTTAATGAGGTTACAGAGTAATGTTACCAAGACGCTTTTGGCATTTTTAAAGGTGTAAAATAAGTTTATGTTAATATTCTATAACAAATGTGAATAAAAAACTATCAGCAACAGCTTAGATACGTTACAAAAAGGCCCTTAAAATGTGTTAAAATATAAACAAATAAAAGTGTTGCATTGTTCATTGTATTTTCATTGTCTTGCAGAGATATTGCTGGGATCTGGTTTAAAGTAGGGGGAGCCTGTGAGGGATTGGTCAAGTCAGCTGGTTTTATTTTGAAAACCGGAAGTGCTTGTTCGTCACGTCTAACTTCATCCTGTTGGCGATAGGAACTGTGCTGTTTGGTCGGTCGGATGTGGATGGTCGTTTGGTGCATGGCGCGTGTTTTGAAGCTGCTTATGGAGAAATGTCTTGGGCCGTGAGTAGTGAGGAAACAGGAAGCGATTCTTGTGGGATGGAAGAGGGAAATAGTGACAATGAAGGGTGGAAGATAGCAACATCAAAAAATGAGAAAAAGCGGAAAAAACAGAGATCAGTTCAAGGGGAATCTAGTTCAGAACAATCCAGTGATGATCATTCCATACATTCCACAGCACAACAAAATGAATTCAAAGTCATATTCAAAGTCGTTAATCAGGCAGACTCTTTTACAAATTGGAATCCGGTTCACTTAACAAAAACCATCAATAAACTTGTCGGAGAAGTCAGAGGTGCCAGAATTCTGTACAGTGGAGACCTGCTAATTAACTGCAGAGACAGCGCCCAGCAAGGCAAAGCAATACGGATCAACAAAATTGACGGGATAAGAGTTCAGTGCAGCCTAATGGAGAACAAAAAGATCAGCAGGGGAGTCATTGGAGGAGTTCCTCTAAAAATTTCTGAAAAAGAGATTCTGGAAAACATAAGCGGTGCAAAAGTAAAAGAAGTAAAACGGTTAAAAACAACAAGAAACGGAGAAAGATCTGACAGTTTATCAGTGCTAATTAAATTTGAGGAAGAGCAATTACCAAGCAAAGTATTCATCGGTTACATAAGCTATAATGTCAAAATCTACAATCCTCCACCATTGAGATGTTTCAAATGCCAAAAATTCGGTCACATTGCAGCAGTTTGTAAAGGGAAACAGAGGTGTGGAAGGTGTGCAGGAGAACACGAATATGGTAAATGTGGAAAAGAAGCTATAATAAAATGCTGTAATTGTGGTGGAGAACATACTGCTGCTTATCGCGGCTGTGAAGCAAGCAAAAGGTCTGAGGAAATTAAAAAAATGAAATTTGAGCTCGGAATAACCTACGCTGAAGCTGCAAAAAGGATCCCATCTCAGTCAGAAAAACCCAAACCTACAGTTCAACACACGGCAAATTCCAAACCTCTAGAGAATCAAAAAATTGATGAAGACTCACTTATTGTTAAAAAGACAAATTTTGTTCTTTTCATGGTAGAAGTAATTAATTGTACTGCACAGACAACAAAAAAAACGGAAAAAATCAAAATAATAGTGAAGGCTGCAGAAAAATATCTGGACATTAAAGATTTGAACTGGGAGATGGTTGGAAGTATGATGGGAGGACCGATGGGACCATCAGAAACTGGCAGAGTTAAGATGACCTAGAGTAAATTAAAAATTATATGGGCAAATGTGATTTAGTATTATGTTGGTTTAAGTTACACAGGTTTTTTTTTTTTTTTTTTTTTTTTTTTTTGGGGGGGGGGGGGGGGTGAATCGTTTTCTGTTTTCTTGCTTTACTCCATATCAGTTGGTGGCGGTAATGCACAATTCACAAGTCTGCCAACCGCCATAAAACCCCATAAGAAGAAGAAGAAGGGATTGGTCAACCAGTCACAGGATGATGGGGGAAAAAAATCCACTTAGATCGTTCCGTAATTCAGAGCAGCAGCTGCGGCTTCAGGGAGATTTTTAACTCTACAATTATGGTAAGTTTGACTGTTTCCGGTCCAAAGAGCTGCTTCTCTTTACGCCTCACAGGCTTAGACCCTCAGCGGGAACAGACAAGAAGTTTTTGGGAGTTTTCATGCGAAGTGATATGATTGTGAAGCGTTAGCCTGCTAGCCTAGCATTATTTCCACCTACTGTATAGTGGATGACGTGTTCGCCGTAAGCACGAGCCACTTCCGGTGGGGTTTAAAAAAGAAAAGAAAAGACCTAAACCAAATCCGAGGCTAAAATTGTGTTTTCATCATCTGTATTGTTTTTATCTTAATTTAAGAAACATATTCGTTTGTTTGTTTAATTTTAAATTGATTTAATTACATATACCGTATAATAATTGACAATTAACTGTTCTATTTGGTTCAGGGTTCCCAGACATTTCTCAGTTTTCTGAAAAAGTCTGAAATTTGACTCATATTTTACAGGTTTGGGTTAACATCATAAAGTTAGAGAAGAGGATTAGGCCCGCTAAAAAATAAAAAAATGTAACTGATTTTTACATTTTACTTCAATATAAAATGAGAAAAAAGTCACAATTTTAACTTTAATCTCAGAATTCTGACTTTTTCTCACAATTCTGACAGAATTCTGACAGCTGTCTGACAACATGTTAGCATCAAGCCATAGCCATGTCTATTTTAGAGACTAAACTAGCTATCTTTTTTTAAAATCACTTTCTGATCTTCCATTACTGAAATAGCATCAACGGGACCCCTCGTGCACGTAAAAAGTTGCCTAATTCCATCATTTTTCACCAATGTGTTCCTGTTCCTCCCAAACTACTCACATCTTTGTCAGTGAAGCTGAGTGCTCCACATCTCTTCCTTCATGGGGCCCATCTACATTAAGATCCACAATTCTGAGATTAAAGTTGGAATTCTGAGATTAAAGTTGGAATTCTGAGAGTAAAGTTGGAATTCTGAGAGTAAAGTCAGAATCCTGAGATTAAAGTCGGAATTCTGAGATTAAAGTCGGAATTCTGAGATTAAAGGTGGAGTTCTGAGATTAAAGTCAGAATCCTGAGATTAAAGTCGGAATTCTGAGATTAAAGTCGGAATTCTGAGATTAAAGGTGGAGTTCTGAGATTAAAGTTGGAATTCTGAGAGTAAAGTTGGAATTCTGAGAGTAAAGTTGGAATTCTGAGAGTAAAGTCAGAATCCTGAGATTAAAGTCGGAATCCTGAGATTAAAGTCTGAATTCTGACTTATTTTTCCATATGAAACTGAAAATATATTTAAAAATCTGTTAACTAACCCTAATCCCCTTCCGTGTAAAGTAGTGGAATGTGGCAGACATATTTCCAGGATATCTTCTAAAAATTGTATTCATCTATTTTCAGTCTCCTAATCCCAGTTTGTTGCTGCCATTAACGGCGTTACCTTGTTTAATAGACGTCTACCAGATGCTTTTATTTTGAAATGCAGTAAGTTGTGTTTCCTGTCTGAATGTGCGGTATCCTTCCCGCAGAAGGTTGTAGTTCTGGGTTTGAACACGTCTGGCTGCTGACTTGTTTATGGCGATGAGCTTTCAGTCTGCGTGTTTGAACATGTGCTGCTCTGTCTGTCTGTCAATATAATTATCATTCACTATCCTGACATGAGAGGCACTGATGGTGGGATTAGAACAGGCTAATCAGGGATTATCAGCCCCTCTGGCCACAGCGATCGGACAATCCAAAGGAATGTGAATAAATGTAGCAGGCGGTGCTCTCCTGTTCTTTTATTAAAACCCGTCGGTTTTTCTTTAAACAGCCAAACCCTCAGAGGCAGCAATCTCCTCTTAATCTGTGAGGATCTCTCCAAGGGCTCAGTGAAATCCTGACTCCCAGCAGCCATCTGTTCTGTCAGGAAGGTGCAATCAAAGATGTGCAGAGAGTCTGGGTGTTTTTATGTTTTTGTGAAGTGGTTATGTAATTCCGTGCCTGTGGACGTGACACAGACCGATAATATCCTGTTCAGGCTGGTGTTTCGCTCTGGATTCAGATCGGTCAGATTGCACGATTGCAGAAAGTTGAATTAGAAACTGTTGTTGATTCCAACAAAGGAAAACTCTCAGCTGCTGCTTTTCTATGCATCTTTTGATAAGTAGTAAAATATTATATTATTTTTTCCCCACTATAATAATGGAAATACCAGTTTTGAAAAAGCTTAGTGATATTCTTACAAGAAAAAATCCTGCAGTTCATTAAAAATAATGTGACATACTGGTATGTATGTAAGATATATTTACTATATGCAAAAATGAAAAAGAACCCCAACACCCCCCCCCCCCCCAAAAAAAAATAAAAAATAAAATAAAGTATTTTTCCAGGATCCCAGTGTGCAAAATGTAAATTTTTTGCAGTTCTACTTTTGAGAGACTAACACAATCATAACTGATATTTGCTGTTTAATTAGAGCCAATAATTAGCTGCTTAACGAACATACTGACGTTACAAATGTTTTACATACTGAAGTATTTGGAGAGCAAAATATCTTTGACTGAATAACTTCAAGTGAGAAAAGCACACAGGAGTTTTCTCTGAGCAACCCGATAGACAGGTTAGCAGCAACAGGTGAAGGAGGGGTGGTGCTTTATGTTCTTTTTACTGGGAGGAAACTTCAGACACTCCCAACACAATCCATTGCTTTCTACTAAGAGGACTTTAAACCTTTAAAAGGACTTGTTTTCATTCTTTTTTAGCACTTTGGAAACTCCTAAATTTTTAAAACCCCAGAAGAAGTTGGTACTGTTTACGAGGCTGTTATAACCTCCTGCTTATGAAGTTATGCATCATCAGTATCTTCAGTGTTCACCAGCTTCTGTACCAAGAAGGAGGGGAAACTTATTATCAATTTAAACTAGCCTTTGTTATTTAGTTTTTATATTTTGCAGAACATTTGCTGCCATGGCAGAAATACAATTTCAGCAAACACTTGTTGTTGGCAGAGGTTGGGCCAGATTGTAAAAGGAAATTGTAAAAAGGTGGGGCAAGTTTGCAAAAAATGACAAGAGGCATTTTATTTAAACTGTTGCTATAACAGAATAGAAACAGTTAATCCAACACAAAAAAATGAACTAAAACAGTCATAGTGCTTTCATTTCCATAGTTATTGTTAGTGGTGTGCACAGACTTTTTGAAGGTCAGAGGTGGAAAAAAAGGTACATATAGTTTACTTTAGCACGCGTTTTTTAGGCTTGCAAGTGGGCGATTTAACAGGTGTTTTTTTTTTTTTTTTTTTTTTTTTACAGCAGTAGTGGCTCTTTTTTTAAAGTAGGCTGACAGGAAAGGGGGAATGAGAGAGGAGGAGAGACATGTGGCAAAGGACCACAGGCCTGATTCGAACCTTGGCCAGCTGCTTAGCAGGCATTTTGGCTTCCAAGTCGGCTCGTTAGCACATGCTTTCTATTAAGGTACTAATAATTAGTCAGACTGTCTGCTCATGAAGAGGCTGCAGTTAGCTGCTTAACAGACATGCTGTGGCAGCTGTGACATGCTGTAGGTCCTCCATTAGTTTGTAAGTCATGTGTTTTTTTGTTTTTTTTTCATCACCAGAAAAGCTTCCAAAATAATTTATTTTTTATGAATAAAAACATTTTTGTCGATGACTTTCATCTGGCAGATTCAGCTATTGCGATGGGAGTTTACATAAAAGAAATTCCTGCATTTTCTTATTAGACTTTATGATCTGTAAAAATGGAAAGATTTTAAATTTCTGTGGTAATAAAACCAGGAATAAAAAACAAACAAAATGCATTGTTTTTAGTCAAGGAATTTGTGTTTAGCTTTGCCGCCACCTCATACCATATCAGAGATTTTCTAATTAAGGCTAAAAAAACACCTCATAAAGGAAAACAAGCAAACAGGTGAATGAGGAGGAAGATGTGATAACGGTGAACTCTGATGAGTCTGCAGGGTTGTTGTTCTTAAGCTTTGGAGAATATTTGCCTGTTTGCCCCGAAGGCCGACATCAGAGGGACAATAGGTGGAAGTGAGGAGGCACTTCCTGTTTTACATTCGAAACAACTGTTTATATAAAGGGGACAAGATTTGATCGGATTAAATCTTCCCTCAAAATAAAGACTAAGCCTTGTCTGTATTTAATTATTTAAAACAGATGATGATACACAGTAGATCAATAGAATTTTATGGGTTTTCATAATAAACGCATCAAGGCAGTAGTGTCATTATCAGTGTTGTTGCTCCTGTTCAGTTCCTGTTCTTCCCCATCATATCATTATTTTTTATTTTAATGCAAATTACTTGTAGACTCCTGCACTGCTGCACCTTTACATAAGATTAACAAATTAAAGAGAAAAAGCTGCATTAAAGCTACAACTGATTTGATGCTTTAAACGTTCCATTAAGGTAAATATGTAATTTTATTTTTGTTCACATTTTCTGTTTTATGAGCAAAAGCAAAAAATATTATATCATACTCGCAAATGTTTTTAAGATTTAAACTAATGATATATTAAATTAGAATAAAAGATGGCAAATGTAGTTTAGTTTATTGTACCATTTTATTTTTAGATATTTAAGATACATGCTTGACTTATTTCAGTCATTTTCGTAATCTCTGCATTTGTTATTTTTTTTTATTTTCCCCAATCAGAGTGAATCACTGGTTGTGTGTGATGTGGATGAAAATCTGGTGAAGAAGCTGAAGGAGTTCCGCTTCCGGAAGGAAACCAATAATGCCGCCATCATCAGTGAGTGGTCCGCCTTTTTCTGCTCCTTCGTTATTTAGGTTTGGTCCTGTGTTCATCCTGGAGGAAGCTTGGATCTTCTCCAAATTCAGCCTTCTAAAGATCCAACATGGTTTAAGAGCAAAATGAAGTGTATACACTTTTAATCATATGATTTCCCAAATTAGTGCCTGATAAAAATGTAGATAATAAAAAAAAACCTGCAACGGATTTGACACCTTAATTAATTGATAAAGATGAAGCCAAATTGAAAGAAATGTCCTTAAGATACCAAACTATACCTGATGTTTTAACAGGATTTAGAAGGGAAGGTGCCGCTAATGCAAGCATCTATTTAACCTCATTTCCAGTGAATGTTTCCACCTCACTTTGCTGGTTTGCTGCATGTAGATGTGAGATAAAACCAAAGTAAAAGATACCAGCAAGGAAATAAGGGAACCAGATTATGAGGTTATGAGGTCTAGCTGCCTGTCGTTCTCCGTATAGGAAAAAAACCTAAAGGCTCCTAAGGGACCGTTAACAAAACCCTGCAAACCAGTGTTAATTTTGACAGCAAATTCTGATTTAGTCTTAGTCTTAGTCTTTTGAATAACACACCATTTAGTTTTAGTCATATTTCAGTCATCTGAAATCTTTTAGTCTTAGTGTAGTTTTTGTTGACTAAATGTCAAAAGAGTTTTAGTCTTAGTCTAGTCTTAAGTCTTTTAGTCTTAGTTTAGTCTCATTCTAGATTGGAATTAGACTTGAATTTCCCCTTGGGGATAAATAAAGTATCTATCTAGATTTAGACACAGATTGAAAAGTTACAGATACAAAACATGTATTTTATTTTGAATTTCAAAAAGATTAACTGTGGCTTTGCTCCCTGAAAAAGTGCATTCTCCCTGAATGATATGCAATGCATATAACATTTTCAAGATGTTATTATTGAAATGGATAAACCACTAAAAAAAATTGTCTATTTTATTTCAAGTTTAGCGCAAACACTGCGGTTAATCAAATAAAAAATAACCTTGTATGCTTAGCGTGTATGCTTACCTTCGCAAGTATCTCTGGATGAGTCGTCTGCGTTTCAAGTTGGTGATGTTTTTTCCGGATATTTTGGCTCCACACGGTTTGCAGGCTGTCTTGTTGTCCTTAGTGTCATGTGTGAAGTGTGCCCAGATATCAACTCTTCTTTTTCGCCCTAGCTGTTGTAACATCTCTATTATTCATTTGATTTTTGAAAGGCTACTACTGCTACGAAAATGCTGCTTCTATGCTTCAACCATACGCGCTCTCTTCTTCTTCTCCTTCTTCGCACAGCTTTATGGCGCATTACCGCCACCTGGATTCCTTTCTATGGCGGTTGGCAACTAACTTTTGATTGGATTTCTTCCCAACTTGTCCCACAAAAAAAGTAATTCTGATAGGTTCACCATGCGTCCCTCCCTAATAGTTTAGTCTCGTTTTTATTCGTTGACTAAAGTGTCAGTTATTTTCGTAATAGTCTTAGTCATCATATCTCACTTTTTATTTAGTTTTTATTTAGTTTAAGTCCGTGTAAAAGGTTCGTTGACGAGTATTTTTCGTCATAGTCTTCGTCAACAAAATTAACACTTCTGCAAACAGTGGGGAAGTTGGAGCTTTAGGTGTTTTTTTTTTCATTTATTGTGTTTTTATTATACAAATAATGACCATGTGAGTACAGTGAACCCTCACTATAACGCGGTTCACTATTCACGGTCTCGCTGCTTCACGGATTTGCATCATGCATTGTGTTCTGCATTCTGATTGGCTAAACACTCTCTTGGCGCCTTTTCCCTAATGTGCCTCAATAACAGCATTTCGGTTTATAAGGATCTTTTGGCCCAGAAGAACAAAAGAGCGACAACAACTATTGATAACTATGTTCTTCTCTCCTAAAAACAAACCTGCACCGCAGGCTTTAGAAGGAAAAAACGCCACAGAGCAGAGTCAGGATGCAGCAGTGAAATACTCTTCTGTACACGTCAGTCACTATTTGTCCTACTGTACTTTCTATTTTTTATTTCATAATCATTTTTCATTTTCTCCCGTTCCAATTCGTCACGGCTGGGGTGATGCTGATCCCCACAATATTAACCCTTCAGTTCATATTGATGATTAAAATGTTTTATTTTTTAATAACTATATTATTTTACAGTACAGTACAGTAGTTATTTGTAAAAAAAAAAAAAAAAAAAGCAATTGTTTGTACAGTACTTTTATTTGTTAAACAAATGCTTGGGCCTGTAAAAAGTTTTCGTTTAATTTTAATGTTTTATGGAGTATTTCATTGTATAATAACTGTAAAAAAAAATAAAGGTTTCTACTTCACGGATTTCGCGGGTTCTTTTTGGAACGTAACCCAGCGATAAACGAGGGTTCACTGTATTTGACAATCCAAAGTCAGTGTCCCAGCATGTTTACACATATTTGCCAAATAATCTGATTCTGAAAGAGGCTAAAACACAAATTCTCACCCTATGAATTATGTGCTTATTTCTAAAGGGTTTCATGTTTTCATTGATGTGAAAATGTTTTTTTGTGTGTATTAAAATTGAAAATGTATTTAAGTAATCATAGATCTTTTCAACACTGGAAGCTTTTATGAACGGGACCAGAAGAACAACATTCCTCTCATACCAGAAGTTTAACCTAATTTAAAGGCCGGATTGCTACTTTGATTTTGTTCCATTTTCTTTAGTCTTATTAGTTTCCTCTCAAACATTTTCATACTTCATTTATTCAAGATTACCTTAAACATCTAAAGCCATGCATCATTTAGCATGTTAGCATGTCTAAATGCAGCGGGGTGTAGAGTTGCATGGATCAAAACAAAACAAAACTCTCTCCTCTGCCTTATTGGCTTAATTATGTCCTTTCTGAAAATGGACAGAAATTAATATTTCTTTAAAATATTGGTTTCCATCCCTCTAAAACTTTCATCTTTTATCCCTTCAGATTCAATTGTTGACTTTGTTGTTTTTGTCCTTCAGTGAAGATTGATAAAGACAAGCAGCTGGTTATTCTTGATGAAGAGCATGAGGTAAGTTATTTGTTTTAATATGCTTTGAAATACATTTTTTTTTGCTTTCTTTTTAAATTATGATGAAATATTAAGCCTTCTGAACAAAATGTTTCCTTTAGGACATATCTCCTGATGAGCTAAAGGATCTCCTGCCTGAGCGACAACCCAGATATCCTTTGAATTGAATCTGAATGCTGATATTGCTTTCTGTAAAATGGAATTACACATTATTGAGTAAAAACACGCGTAGCATCCTTAGCAGAGCGAAACATTTGTCGTCTACAGTTATAAGTATTTTCATGATGATGGACGGACATCCTTTCCGCTCTGCTTCATCTTCTCCAGTCCAGTGGGTAAGTCTATTTCTGCTCCATAGGGGGCGACGTCCTGCAGCTTTAAACTTGGATCTGCTCCTGCAAAACAAATCCAGGCTGTTAGCATGTTTCTGTAGAAACTGATTGCATGCTCACATTTTAATTAAATTAAATCCGACCGTCTGAGAGTTGCAGGGCACTGGGATGTTGAGGCTCTTTATTGGATGCAAACATTCCGGTGCATTCAGACACCGTGCCCTATTTGATGATGCCTTCCAGGTTATAAATGCTGCATCTGAAATCTACCCTGGAAAAAATCAAAATCTAGATAAGTCATTTATTCAAGATAATTTACACTTAAAACAAGAAAAAACAATTGAATTGTCTTATTTCAAGTGCATATTATTTAATTATCTTATTTTAAGAGTAAAAATAGTCATTACATCTGCAAACTATCTCATTTACCAACTCAAAATAAGGATTAATACGCTTAATTTAAGATATTTTTACTTATTTCTAGATTGTTTTTCCAGTGCAGTCTGTGAACTCCCTACAGGTCTTGTGGAAATCACCACGGACACCGCATCAGTCTGATTTCACCTTTACAGTTGCTCTTGTAACACCATTATTTGTGGTTGGCAGGTTGTAGACCAGAGCAGCAGATGATGTACGCAGGAAGCAAAAACAAACTGGTGCAAACGGCTGAAATGACCAAGGTTTGTGAATCTTTTTCTGTGTGAAGCATAGCTCTCTGTATGCTTTGGTGTCTGCTTCGACGTGCTCAAAATATCAACTAATAATAATAACTCTCCTTTTTACAAGCAGGATTTTTTTAGTATTAGTAGTTACAATTAGAACAAAAATGAAAATATCCTCTGTCACCCCTGAGAAATGAATCAAATATGTTCTGTTCAGATGTTTTTAACCATTTAGATGTTTATGCCCTGAAATATAATCACCTACTTTTGGTGAAAAGGTCAAACATATTCCAAGGTAGAGAATCCATCTTGCAGGGGTTATACTTTATTCCACAGAAGATTCGATCTTTGATCCTTTTCTCGGTCAGGGTTTCCGCGGGTCATTAAAAATCATAAAAAGTCATTAAATAATTTTTTTAAATTAAAGACCTTAATTGGCATTAAAATTCATAAAAACAGATGGGTTCTGTTTTATTCTGGACTGGTTTTGATAGAGGATTAGGACTGATATTCATGAGGAGGTAAGTTGATGAGTGATCAACAACTCGGACCCCTCCTCAGTCATAACAAACTGTGGTTGAAACAGGGTCAACCTCAGCGACTGGTTACAGTGAAAATGAGGGAACATTTTGGTCAGAAATGCAGTGTTGGGTCAAAAGGTGACACTAGAACCATTTGGATCCAATCAGTCATAAAGGACTGACAGCAAGGCTTATGTAGCTGAGCAACCCTCTCAGGTGAAACTATGAGAGCCATTTTAGGTCATCAAGGGCTTGAAAGGGGAAGACGGCCATACGATTTGAATACGTTTTATAAAATGAAATAATAGACAGACATCTCACTGGGACATTATAAAAGCTGTTTTTCTTTTTGACAGGTTTTTGAGATCAGGAACACAGACGACCTTTCAGAGGAGTGGCTCAAAGAGAAACTTGGATTCTTTCGCTAAAGCCGTCTCATCCGTAGGTTTGGGATGCGAGGAAGATCCTGAATGCACAACCTGCATCATCTTTCCAGAAGAACACAGATGTTACCTTCCTCTGGGTGGACCTGATTTAAATAGTCTTTGCATGTAATCTGTCATCAGCGGCCATATTGATGGGGTTTAAGATGATTTTTTATTACAGATCGACATGTATCAGAAGGTTGAGACAGTTATAGCAGTTATAGTATCTAAACCCGTTTGGTCGCCTCAGTCTGCAAATGCTATTTGACGCAGGCCTGCCTTTGCCTCCATCTCTCCATGTGCCAGTGTGATGTGTCTGTACTGAATTAACACTCCCATAGATCTTAAAGTGAACAGAAAGTAAACGTGCGTGTCCGCCTTACCGACTCATGCTCATCCAGGAGAATCTTCCTAACGAGTTTCTGTTTCCTTAAGAAGTTTACGACTTTGTAACTGAGACCTTCCTTAGTTTATCTGTTTTTTTTTTTAAAACCTTTTTCCCATGTTTTTTTTTTGTTGTAAATCTAGTCTGTTTTTATTTTTTATATTATTTCTGCTTGTAAGTTAGATATAAGTTTTACTTAGAGCTACGTTTCCTTTTTCCTTCCTACCAGATTAGTTTAAATGGTCGTTGCTAGAACTTTGAAAACACTACTGATCTCTGTCAGTCTCCCCAGGAGCAGCCTTTGCACCAACTTAACTTTTTTACCTTTTGTCCCATTAAGCTCAGACTCGGTCTCGACTGTCCTGTTTGTTAAATAATCTTCTGAAACAAACGGCTGACATTTTCACGGATATTTACTTCTAATCTGACATTTGAGGATTTTTCTGTAGGTTTAAAGGGGCAATAAACACACATCAGTGGCAGCTGCTGCTCTCTGAAACTGGAGGCTCTATGGTGTTAATTAAATCCAAACATCACCTACTGCATTAAAAAATTGAAACGCATAAAACACATCATGCGTGAAAATAGCTGTTGTGAAGCGCTCTGAAATAATAAACTCCCAAAAACAATGGCAGGAGTTCAGAACCAGATGACTGATCTGACTGATAACTTTTCCCTCAAATTACGTGGAAAACCTCCTCGCTGTCTGACCGCTGTCAGTCATATGTCCTTGAATATGTTAGCCAATCAGCATCGAGCAGCTAGCTGCTCTATAGAGGTTTAGCCTCACTGGAAATGACGTATTTTGGCTTGTTATCCAATCAGGGCTCTACGTTCTCGCTGCTTACCTCAGTAGACGGAGGCTCAAACCTCAACAAGGTCCCTGCTGATTCAGCGCGGCCTCAACAGCTGATCAATGGCGGCATCCTCATGAAATCCGCCATATTTTAGTGCATATTTAATGCAGTTTAATCAGCACTGTTATGAAGTCTGACAATGCATATTTTACCAATCATTTACAGGGGACTTTTGCCTCACTAGCATTCAATGAGAAATCCCCACTGATTCACATGCATGCCACACTTTTCAGATTTCTATTTTTAAAAGATTTTTTTTTTTATCGTGTATTTTCTTAATTCACTTTATTTTGGTCCTTCAAAGCGGCTTTTAAAATGTTAGGGAATTGAATATTGTTTACAAATGTAAAGGTAAAAAAAACAAAGGATTGGTTATGTGGATTTTTTTGCGCACTATCTTGATTCCAGCACTACAAGTTATCATATTTTTTAAAAATAGAAATTTAAAATAAGCAAAGATGACTCTTAGGTCTGTAAATGTTTGTGATCCCTCCTTGGCCTTTCACATAAAACACCTAGAAATGACAGATTGCAGTTTTAATGTTGCATCTTGCAGAAAAGCTTAAAGCTCTTTTGGAGGACTGCAGCCTGTTGGTTTGACTTTGGATGTTTTATTCCGGTTAAATGGAGAGAATAGGCCAAGCATGGATATAATCTTTGATCTGCATGTTGGTCACTCGGTTCATATTCAGGGTACAACGTTTCCAAAAACATTCCAGATGCAAACTTTTTTATTTTGACGTGGATGGTAACATGTGCCCGTCTTTAATCTACTGGATTACCGTCTCTTTACAGGATATATTATCGTCCATTAGAATTCCTGCTGTTTACTGAATGTTGATTGATGCTCATGTAAAGCCACTTTATTTGCCTCGTTGCTGCTTCAGCCTGCAGAATAATGTTGCAACTCCACAGAAGGCTGGTTGTGCTTTATGTTTTTGGATGTTTAAACTTTCAGTGAAAATCCAGTATAGCTTCTTTATTCTGACGTTTAGCAGCTGATCATTTAAAGTTCCAGTTTTCAAGCCCTGTGTCTAGTCACTGACTATAAAATGAGTTTCAGTTCATCTATATTCTGTTCCAGAGCAGGATATTAGTTTTTCTGTACATCCTGGATCTGATGCAAAGTACAATGATAAGCCGCCCGTCTGTATCACCATCTTACTATTCTGTCGCCCTTCCCACGATTTAAAACTAACAAATATTCATTGTGATTCCAGAGAAGTGGCGTAGTGAGTCAGGTTTAATCTGGTTTAGGTTAAAGCAGTGGTGCCCTTCCTCCACCTGTTACTGCACATTGCAAGTGTGCTAAAAAAAATAAAATTTTCTCTCATATAGGTCCTTTCCTTTTTGGCGAGGTGTTTTGGAAAGATTTCCGCTTTAGAAAATCAAGAACAAGTAATTTATTTGAGACCCTTTATTTGTTAACCGTCTAAAACTCTTAACATAATGAAAATCTGAGCTCAATATTTCCAGGAAAATGCAAAGTGAGGTTTCTAAAAACCTTTATTTTCCAAAATGAAAAAAAAAAAATCTTAGTTTCCTTTGAACTGATCAATTTTAGATAGAAGTGATTAAATAATTGTTTATTTTTTTATAAACCCCCAGTCAGCACCATCCTTTTGTCCAAACACCTTCTGGCTAATCTCCATTCCCTAAAAAGCACAATCAAAATGTAAGTCCAGATGTAAGCAGCTTAAAAATATCAAGCACTTAATAAAAGCTACACATGATTGTTTTGTTTTTTTTCTTCCTGTTTTAAGATAATAAGCAATATAGTCTGAATCCTGCCAAAACGTAATTTTGCATGATGATGAGGAAAGCCCTAAAAAATGGATAGTTCAGTAGGATCTCTGATAATTAAAAAAAGGCGTTTTAGAGCTGAATATGTCGGTCAGATCCTTAGAGAGGGAGAAAGACGTTGGCACGTTTGAGCTCCACGTCTCATCAGTGTCGTCTCATGAGACTTTTTTCATTATTTTCTTGAAAGATATGTCACACTGTTAAACTTTTCATTTCTTTTTATCTTCTGTGTTTTGAACGATTCAAAGTGAACAGATAAGTGTCCATGCCAGGAATACAAAAGACAAATGTGGCATTTTATGACTTCAGTCATCTTTTCTCCCGCTTAAGTAACAGAGACAGACATGGCCAGTGAGAAGCCTTATTCTATCTTATTCTATGTCTACTGATAGAAATTAAAGCTTAGGGTTACACTGCCTACATGTTAGAGAAAATCAAGAGCAAAGTTTACTGTTTTACAACATTGTTTTATCCACTAATATTTCATTTCCTTAACTAAATGTCTTCGGTGAATGGAACATCATCCAGGCAGGGCATTGTTGGCAAACTCTGAAATGTATAATGATCTGTTTTGATGTTACATAAAAAAATCTATCTCTAAATTTTCTCACGATGTCAGTAAAGTGAACAGCTACTGTTAAATAGTGCACTGAATGTGAATCATTTCCACTAAACTGTATGGGAAAAATAATCTCACACAGTAGCTCTTTAAAACGAGCAACATCCAGAGCCAGCACTAGGTAGAAGTATTGCTGAGGTAACTCCATGTTTCTTTGTTTTTAGCATCACATTGCAGGCAGGCGAAATGCTTAGTTCTTTCCTTCATGTTTCCTTTCTTCCAATTAGTCGTTAGATTCAGAGTTCAGTAGAAGCATTGTAGTCCTGATCTGTTTCTTTACAGAAATGAAATGTAGTAAACTGTGTTCTGTGTATCAAAATCAACCTCACTTTTTCTTTTTGAGCCTTCCATCTGGTTTTATCCTGTGGATTCCTGAGCTTCTCCTCCTGTGTGTTTAAATTGTTGGAAATTGGGATTTCTGAATCTTTTACTATGATATGCAAATGTTTAGTTTAGCTCAATAAGTGTCCTCTTTGATCAAATAAATGCCTATTTTCTTCCTTTTTATTCAGGCTGAAACATCTATGATAACCAGCTGTCTCATGACATCATTGAAACTTGACATATTTGTATACCTGTGTCTGTCCTGTCCCCAAATAAACTGACAGTGATGTCTACTCTGCTTTTTAGAGTTTTTGTTTATTTTTTATCATAATTAATTGTTTTTTCCTCTAGCATTAAACCACATAAAAAGAAATAGGAAAAAGTATCTGCTGGAAACTTCTGTACTGGGTTCGTTTTAATCGATCTGGATAAGATCTGTTAGAAAACTGTTTGAGGCAGAAAAGAAATTAACACTTTTGCAAAACATTGCTTTACCTGTACTGACTTTAGCCAACTTTATTTACAGTTGATCTAATATTTCAAATTATTTTTATGATTGCGTAGATTTGTATTTATGTAACAATATTATTTTGTACTAATGACCTAGATCCCGTGCTGGTTTTAGATCAAATTTACAAGTGGGTCATGAGTGAGGCCTTTTTTTAGGGCACAGGACAAAAGAATAAATCACACACACGGAATAATACGTAAGAGCACATCATTGGGATTATTAGGTGATCCTCAAAGAAAGTGTTCCAGATAAAATATTACATTTGTTCAAGGATTAAATCAGTGATTGACTCTTCTGTCAGCCCATATCATCGAAGGAAACTGATTAAATAATAACTGGAAAAAATGAAATACATGTATTTGCCCTTAATAAGATAAATAGATATATTAGATATTATGCACTTAAAGCTAAATTAATTTTTTTGTTTTAAAAATAAATGATTTTATATCATTAGCAGATTTTTATAACTATATTTCCAAATCAAGAGAAAATACAGATATTAAAAAACAAAATGACTTACTTATATTTGAAGTTTTGCATTATGTGTTTTCAGAAAAAGGGCCATAAAGGGACCAGGACCAGCTCTACAGAGGCTTTGGCCCCTATTGGCTCCTGTTTAGGACCACCATGCCATAATGGTATCCTGATTCTATGCATTGGGTTTTTTCAAGTATAATTTTTCAATATAGCTACGTAAGTAATGTAATATTTGTAATGGGAGGAGCAAATTTAGTTTTAATCATTTAAGAAGCTATTAAACTCCAATAATATATAAAGGATTTTTTAGATTGTAGGACATGAACTAACCACACGATGGCACTAGTGTATGTGTTAAGTATACCAGCTGGTTAGTCAAGAAGAAATTAGTATTTATTTAAATATTTAATATTAACAGGAATAATTAGGAGGATTTAGTATTTGTAAAGTAATATTATAGATATATAGATAAATAAATATACGTATCTTTATGAAAAGGCCCATTCTGATCCCATTCCTCACCAGCTGGTGGCGGTAATGCGCCCCAAAACCGCCATTAAACCCAACAAGAGGACAAGACAAGAAGAAGAAAGGCTAGCAGCGAAGCCGCCTGCATCATCCGCCGACGGAGCCTGGAGGAACCGAGCAGGAGAACCGGAGAAAAATGGCGTTCACATTCGCGGCCTTTTGTTACATGCTCGCTTTGCTGCTCACGGCGGCGCTTATCTTTTTCGCTATTTGGCATGTAAGTACACATTTACAACCACTATAGTCCCGGCTTTCGTAGAGGAATTGAGCAAACTAAGTAAACGTGGGGGTTGAAAATAAGGCCTGCCTGGTGGACACTTCAGTAACGGTTCCTGGTCGGGAGTCGCTCCCACCGAGACGTCGCAGGGTGTTAGCGCTAACTAAACCAAAGCACCTTAATTCCACACTTACTAAAGAAAAATGTCTGCCGCTGAATGAATGGTCCACCCCGTGTTCTACTGGGAATGAAAAATCGCCCACCATTACCGATAAATACCTTATTTTAAAACACCTATTTGATTTAAAGTGTTTTTCTCGCTGTTATTGTTCGTTTTAAACGTGTTATTACCTTAGAGGTTCTGTGAACCTGTCAAACTCCATTTGCTAACTGCTATCAAGTTCGTTAGCATGCTAAGCTAATGTTTTCTACATATTTGTAATGCAGAAGCACAATTTGTAAACCATGTTTGTTATTCATTTGTAATGGCTGTCAAGTAGGAGTCACTAATAAATAAATTTGTGTAATGAAATTATTGATGGCAGAGTTATTGGTAGCTTATCTGTCTGAAGTTGGAGAAGGGTGGAGCTTAGAGTGAGAGGATCTTTGACCCTTCCTGTTATCAATCTGTTCAGGTAGAGAGCTGTGAGGAGGCTACGATGATCATTAAAGCAGGCTGATTAACTTTTCTTTGGATCAATATCCTGTAGAAAATCTTCTGGTATTTTATGGTTTCATGTATTTCAACAAGGTTCCTGTTGAAAGAGAAACAAACATGAGGTCCTTTTCCAAACACTGAGCCTTTGTTTCTCACCAAACCCACAGGCTGAAACTTCATAAATTGAATTTCAGTTGGCCTGACTAAATCTAGTTAGTTATTTGAAATAAAATGAATAAGTTTGAAGATATATTTCAGCAAATTTAAACTGGTTTTAATGGTTTGAAATTGGATTAATTTGCTTTTAAAATGTATTTAAAATTCAATCTGTTAAGTTTTACTTTTCAGTTGGAAAATGCAGTTTCTTGTGTCAAATGGGTCCACAGAATAATCAAACACAGATTTACAGATTGAAAGTTTCAATTTTATTAAACATTTATCACATTTTTTATCCGAAGTATTGTGAAAGCAGAACATCAGGGACACCGTGTTATTTCAGGTAGCTGTTACAGTTTGATTAAGTCCATTTTTTTTTTTAAATAAACATGACAGTTCTTCTCTTTAATTATTTGCATTGTTAATTATATCTGCCAAGCTCATATAGGCTTTTCTGCTACAGCCTGAAAAGCGTCAACCCATTATCTATGGCTCAAATACCAAATTGTCTCGCCCACAAAACATCGATTTTTCTTTTTAACTGAAGCTGAATTATAAAACTGAAAAAAAAAAAATAAAAAAAAATAGATGCATTGAATTTTCAATGCAACAAAATACATTTTCAGGACAAATTATATCAGTTTTAAGTCATTAAATTCAGTTGAGATGCATTTCCAAATGAATGCATCTGGTTTCAAATTACATGAATTTAGATTAATTCAGATCTGGTTTCTGATGGGGATAAAAGTTATCAATTTATTAATTAATCTAAAGATGATTAATCTTATTGGGATTAGATGTGGCTCCGCTACAGAGCACGACTGAATGGGCAGTTCTTGGGTTACAACCTAAGGAGTCTATTGAGTGGAGCAAATTTGAATCCTTAAAGCTTTAATCGGCAGTCATGAGTAGATCTCTAGTTTCAGATGCAAACGTTTCTGTCCATATAAATGTGCTTCCAGTGTTTGTTGCTTAAAGGTACACTATGCAACCGGTGTTGATTTTCCAGCGAGGCTCCCCCCAGAGGGCGAAAGTAAAATAAAAAAGTAAAAGTAAATATAAAGTAAATATGCTCAGCTGTTCTCCTGGTTTCTCCGTCAAGCCAGGCGCGGTTGTTTTGAGCTTAGCAGACAGGCGAACGCAGCTGGCGCGACAGAAGCAGCGAGTTTACATGAGCAGCTGAAGCAGCGCGTCGGGCGCGTTTAAGCATCTGACGCGTGTGACGCGCCGCAAACGCGCTGCTGCTCGAGATGGAAAAATTTTATTTTTGCTGCTCGACGCGCCGCCTCAACCAATCATGCTACGTTCAGACCGGATGCAGCAAAAGCAGCAAAATCGCGTCTGCTGCTTCATTTTCGCTGCTTGTACCAGTGAGTTCTGACGCGCGGCTGAAGCAGCTTTGCTGCTCTGGCTGCGCGGTGCAAAAGTGGCTCTGACGCGCGTTGGGCGGAGCTTCAATATCCTTTCTCTGCCTTGCAGCTATATTTGCTGTGATCAGTGGGAATTTTAGTAGTTTTAATATGTTTTTAAGTGAGAAAATACACCTGAAAACGTAATCAGTGCAGTCAGTTCCTCCAGATTACAATCCTGTCTCCCAATGTTATTTCTGTCGGAGCCGCTCAGACCCCCACATACCAGCAGTGCGCCGACAGTAGGAATCCCTTCATCAGCAGCCTCTGGCCGGGTCGCCTCCTCGCGGTTTACCGCGGCGGCTAGTAGGTGTTTTTCATCTAAATAATCCGATCTGCAGGCACCAGAATAATAAAAGCGAACATATTCTGCCGGCAGATGTATATATTTTAAGGTAATTATGCGTTAATAAACTGTTTAAGAGGAGTAATCAGAGCGGTCTGTGTCATCAGCGCTGTGTCTGTCTCCCAGCCAGCTCCCAGATCAGCTTCTCTGATTGGTTGGCGCGGCGCGTCGAGCAGCAAAAATTAAAATTTTCCATCTCGAGCAGCAACGCGTTTGCGGCGCGTCAGATGCTTAAACGCGCCCGACGAGCTGCTTCAGCTGCTCAGACGCGCTGCGCCTGCTGCTCAAAACGCGCCGCGGGACCTTTTGCTGCGCCTTGACGCCCGTCAACCATTGACTTTGCATGTAAACTCGCTGCTTCTGTCGCGCCAGCTGCGCCCGGTGGGAACGCAGCATAGAGAAGCTGATCTGGGAGCTGGCAGGGAGAGAGACACAGCGCTGATGATCAGAACGCTATGATCACTCCTCTTAAACAGTTTATTGACGCCTAAATTAACTTAAAGGAGAATTCCGTTTTTTAACACTTTAAGCCCATTTTCTGTAGTGTCCAGGATGAAATCGAATGATCGACACCAAAATTTTGACAATTGGTCCTGTCTCTGCTATTTGGCTCATGCAGAATCCCCCCCTGGCTGCTTAAGAATGGCTTCCATAGTGCATGTCCGATAATGTCCTTAAAACAACCTTAAACGTTCTTTTTTTAAAATATGCTACTCACCGTGTCGTCAGCGCTGTTCAATGACGTTCCAAAAAAAGTTTCGTAAAGAAAAAACGTTCCTGTAGTGTTTTATTTAGCATTTTGTAAATCCCATTGAGTTCTGTTGGAATAGTCAATATTCCCCTGCCACCGGAAACGGAAATGGGGCCTGTTTACACAGTTGTAGTCTTTTCGCTTCACTCTGTGTACTCCGACGTCGAGAATCAAGAATCCACCTTTCGTATTCCATTTTCAGAGTTTTTTTAAGTGTTTAACAGAGACGTTAGCACCTCGACGTCTACTTTATTCCCACTGATCACAGCAAATATAGCTGCAAGGCAGAGAAAGGATAGTGAAGCTCCGCCCAACGCGCTTCAGACACACTTTTGCACCGCGCAGCCAGAGCAGCAAAGCTGCTTCAGCCGCGCGTCCGAACTAACTGGTACAAGCAGCAAAAATGAAGCAGCAGACGCGATTTTGCTGCGTCCGGTGTGAAAGCAGCGCTGCACAAAGATCGCCACTGCGCTAGCAACGAGCATGCTTTTAACTGGGGGCGTGTAGCAGTTCTCGCCGTAAAGCAAGACCGACTCTCGCGCGACTTTTGAGCCTGTGGGTGCGGGTCGGTGCTCCTGCAATTGCAAGTGCGGTTTTTCCCCCACAGACCACCAGGGCGGCCGAGAAAACCTTTGTTCAACCTGAAATGACTCATTTAATCATCCAAAACGTTATGGAACACATTAACTGAAAAATGTTGCATAGTGTGCCTTTAAAGTCTAAACCTAGGCATCGTCTGACTACACTGCAAAAAACGATCTACAAATAAGTAAACATTTCTAAAATTAAGTGTATTTACCCTTAATTTGTGCAAGTTAATAAGATGATCTGTCAATGGGATATGTACTTTTTACTCTTAAAATAAGATCATTAGATAATATGCACTTGAAATAAGACGAAGCAATAGTTGTTTTCTTATTTTAAAGGGAAATTTTATTGTTCCATTGGTAAAGTGTCACACCTGCCTCCTCAATTCAAGAAAAAAATGCACTTATTTTAAGAAAAAAAACAACTTTAGATTTCAGTTTTTTGCAGTGCAACAAACGCTTTGAGTTTGAGATGGAGTGGACGCAGAATTAATTGTGATGGTTTGAGAGAAGGGGCTCATTTTCCTGGCTTATTAATCATTTTTATTCTGATCCGCTCATGTTGGTCAGATGTATTTAAGTTTTTCCCCAAACCGCTGGTCAGTGACTAAAGGAAGGAAGCTTATGTTCTGTCATATTTATAACCCTTAAAAAATAGATTGTCATGGATCAATAGTTAAAAAGTTGATTAATTAAAAGAAAATAACAGCTTCTTTTATTTTAAAGGGCTTACGGATGGTATCAGTAATTGCAACATCAGAATATCAAGCTTAAAACTCCTAACAAAAAGAAATTTACTGCCATGAAAGTTTAGATAATTTTTGTGTGATTGTACTTCTGTAATATCAAATCAGTGTAATATAGGGTATTTTATATCTGTTTTTGTTTAACCTTATTTTAGTGAACTTGTATTTATTGTATAGTTAAGTGAGGTAGATTAATTCACATGCAATAGTTAAAATATTACCATGCCAGCGTTAAGGTGACCTTTGACTTCATTATTTCCAGATTATAGCATTTGATGAGCTGAAGACTGACTACAAGAACCCTATAGATCAATGTAACACTTTAAATCCGGTGAGTGTTTCTACTTTTCCTCCTTTTCTTGTCTAAATGACCGCATGCAGATATGCCCTGTTACCGATTTATTTTAGTCTACCTCTTATCCACATATCTTTTTTCTATCATTTCTCTACACTGTTATGCTAAATAACCTGCCTGTTATTAATTGAGTGATCTTGTCAGCTGTGAAACTCTAATGCTTTTTTTTATATTTGTTTTTCCCAATCTGCTTCTTTTACTCTATTTTTTTAAATGGCTAAAAGACAATTGAAAAGGTCAAAAAGATTAAAAGAGTCAAAATTGCATTAAAGGTTTGTACCAATTTCTAAAATGCCCGCTGAGTTCAACTTAGTCTGGAGTCTTGTCGTTTGCACGGTGAAGTGTTTGCTAAGGTCTTTTCAGTTAACTAACCTAAGTTGTTTTTTATGTTTTTAATATCATTGTTGAAATTTTTAAGCATTTCACTTTGATTTGAATGAATTCTAGAGTTATCATAACTTTTAATATTGCAGTTTTTTTATTGCCAGCTATAACTTTGATAATGTATTTATTAGAGTGCTTTGCTAAAGTATTCACACCCTCGAAAATGACATCTTCTCTCTTTACAGTCTCAGCCCTGTGCTTAATTGTGAAATCATAGCTGTCAGTACTTTGTAGAACCACATTCTGCTGCTTTGCACATGAGGAGCCTTTTTTTGTTGTTTTTCATTAGTTTGTTTCAATGAAAAGCATTTTTTGTATAAATTTTTAAGGTCTTACCTTTATTTTCTTAAATCTTTCAAATCTGTGCTGATTACAAAGAATAAATCTTCTTAAAGACAGATTCTCACTCCTGAGCCGCAGAGCTTTGCAGCTCCTCCAGTTTTCATGAACTTTGTTTGATCGTCCAGGTGACGCTCGCCCTTCCCAGTCTGTTGGATTATGTGGCCGGACACGTCTTGTTAGATGTGCAGTTATGGCAAACTGTTTACCTATTATTATTACTATTCCCCTACCCTTTCATCGGGACAATTAATTCAGTTAAACCACCCTGCCGACCCAAAATAAAATTACAACAATTCCAACAACATAGAAATATACTTGTGTCGTTCATCTGTTGTTTTTTTCCCCTACTGGACTGATGGATATCTTAAAAGTTCTGAGGGACATAGCACAGCTGGATTTTTACTTAATTAATGAAAATAATGGCATTATATTAATCAATTAAGTGAATTTGAACACAATTGGTTGTAGCGGGTGTAATAAAAAAGATATATTGGAGCAAATTGGAGCTGAATACCTAAACTTTGCATGTTTATAATAATTAAAAAAGTCAGAAGCCATACATTTTATTGCAACAGATTTGGTCTATTGCAAAAAAAAAAAAATCCAAATAAAATCCACTGCTTATTCTGAAGGGAGGAAATGTGACGATAAATGGGGAATGAATACTTCAGCAGGACACGGTTTCTGTCAAACGGAGGATTTTTGTTAGCGATGCTACAGGATGAACGGCGGGCGTACGGATGGAAGAATCAGCCACTGTGGGTTACTGAGGAGGCGTTGTTAACTGAAAAGACTTGCAAATGCTCAAAGCATGCATGATTCTCTACTCTGATCTACCCTTTGTTTGCTTATGGTTTTACTAGTAGTTCAGTGATGAGAAGTATCACAGCAGGATCTTTGGATCAATACTGTGAGTTTCAAGTTCTGTACGGTTATTATTATTTTTTTTTTTGATAAAAAATATTTCTATATTTCCTAATTTTTATTTTTTGCACTTAAAGTCCCTGTTTGGCAGATCTAAGCTGCTGTGTATGAGCTTAGTGTTGGCTCTGACCTCCATCACCTGTGGCTCTGAACAGATGGCAGCAGAATCCCTCCACTCTACGGCTCAGCACTATTTAAAACCTCCCATTGGCTGGAAATGTTCAAATTTCCATTGGAGGAGGAGTTGGATAAAAGCCAGGCTCGCTGATGTAGTGATATGTTCTGGTTTTGAGTCTGTTAGAAGCATTTCCTTTCTTAGTTGTCATATTTGGCAGTGCAGTGCAGGATTTCAGCTCATTACAGCCCCCCTTTCCCTCTGCACTCTCCCTTTTCCCTACACCTGTCCTCCTATAGATAGTCGTCTTGGCTCCACCCACTGTTTCCTTGTTTTTTTTTTTCCAAATGCATGGCTTCCATGTGGTGCTCCCATCTGCCCCCTGAACCCCCCACGTGCCCTGACCTCAGGCACGCTGCTGCTGCATCAACACTGCTCGCTCTCGCCGCATGCTCTCCTGCAGTGCGTCGTCACTAAATGGGATGATGTGCAGACATGTGGTCACTGCAGAAATATTAACGTTAAGATGCATCAGTGTGCTGTTAAGCAAGCTTTTTATTCGTTTTGGATAGACACAGGGATGCACAGTGTCAAAGAAGGGGGATAAAACTTTTAAAACAACTTACCGTAATGTTTTTTTTTATGTTTTCTGCTGCTATTTAGTTGGCAGCTTTTCTGGCCAATAATCTAATCCTCAATAATTCTGAGTTTGTTTTCTTTCCCCAGATCATAAAGTAGAGTAGAATATGCAGCTGATAGTTCTTGATATTTCTTCATTGTACGTATAATAATAATAATAATTTACACCTCAGCTCGTTATTAGTGTCTCACTTTGTTTTTGATTATTTCACTGCAGCTAAAAACAACCTCGGTTTTTCTTTATAAATGTGACATGTTCTCTGCAGGGAGCTGCAGCATCCCATCATATCCTCCTCTAAATGTTGTTTATTAGCTTCTTAGAAGCCTTTTTCTGAACAGGAAGGTGAATCAGCTGCATTCTAATTGTTTTACTTTCCCTCTCGTCTGTTTTCAGCTGGTGCTGCCAGAGTATCTCATCCATTTCTTCTTTTGTGTGATGTTTCTGTGCGCTGCTGAGTGGCTCACCCTCTTCCTCAACCTGCCGCTGCTGGCGTATCACGTCTGGAGGTGAGTGAACCCAACAAACGCTTGTCTTTTCCATAGATTGAAATAAAATCTGGTGTTTTTAAATGAACTGGTTTGTGTTGTGCTGTGCTGCAGGTATGTGAGCAGACCTGTGATGAGCTGCCCAGGCCTCTACGACCCAACCACCATCATGAATGCTGACATCCTAGCCTATTGTCAAAAAGAAGGATGGTGCAAACTGGCTTTCTACCTGTTGTCATTCTTCTACTATCTCTATGGGTACAAAGATTTACTTTTATCTTTTTGAAAATGCACAGAATCTTGCAGACCTTTTCTCCACTTGGTCACCGTACTGCAAAAATAGTACATTCATTATATCGTATGACGATGCAAAAATATATTTTATAAATAGATATTTGGTGCTCCAAGTCTGTGACAAAACATGTAAAGATTTTGAATTATTACTTTTGCAATAATTATTCTAAATACTCATTTTAATGAATAGAATGATTTTGAGAATCTCTTCTTTAGGAATAAAATATGAAAGAATTGCACATTTCATATACATTTAAATAATGGCAGTTTTCTTTACATTTTCATGTGTTTTTGCATTAAAAATTGGAGTAAATTAGGGCTGGGCGATATGGCCTATAAATGTTTTTTTTTTTTTTTTTTTTTTTTTTTTTTTATGATTTATTTATGGTATTTTGGGTATTACAGATACATATTACACCTTATCCATGAAGTGAAATTAATACAAAGATTAATTGTGTAAAACAAGGTACTAACAATTAAACAGTTTACCCACAACACTCACCCTCCGACCCCTACCCTCCCTTACAGAACAGCATATGAAATGGGGTATAATGGGTTTTGATACAGGAAATCTCGATAGTGAAAATGTTATATAGGCCATACATGGCTTCACATACCAGTATATAGGCAAACACCACCCGACTGCAAGCCGAGCATGCTCATCGTTCACAAGGTGAAAATTAAATATCACAAAAACAATTCCCATTAAGTGATAATAATAATTATATATATATATATATATATACATATATATATATAAAAAAAAAATAAAAATAAATAAAAATAAATAGGTGGAAAAAAAATAAAAATAAAAAAAAAAACAATGTGAGAAATTATAAATCTACCATCCACAACCAGGTTAAACAAACCAGCTACTGTGCTACTGATTTTTCCTTTTTCCTTTATTTTTTTTTTTTTTATTTTTTTTTTTTTCCCCTCTCTCTTTTGGAAGTGGGGGAAGTATAACCAGTTATCTAGCCATCAGGGTCAACGTCTATATGGAGAGACCTGACATGATCGAGGAAGGGTTGCCAAATTTTATGAAATTTCCATTCTGAAGAGCGAAGGGTGTATTTAATTTTCTCTAATCTCATAAAAAAAAGTGCATCCTTAATCCATTGTGAGTGAGAAGGGGGAGAAGGGCCTTTCCACCGCAGGAGAATGGCACGTCTTGCTAGCAGTGTGAGAAAGGCAACAAACTCAGCAAAATAGGACGGCAGTGAGAGGCCAATGGGTAGGACACCAAACAGGGCGAGTAAGGGTGAAGGTTGGATGTTAGCAGACGTGATAGCTGAGAGGGAGTCAAAGATGCGTGTCCAGAAAGGAGCAAGGGAGGGGCAAGACCAGAACATGTGACTGAGATTGGCTGGTTCTTGGTGGCATTTATCACAGTTTGGGTCAATGTCAGGGTGGATCCGAGCAAGCTTACTTTTAGACCAGTGTACTCTGTGAATCACTTTGCACTGTAAAATTCCATGGCGAGCACAGACAGATGAGGAGTGGACCCAATGCAGGGCATGCTCCCAGGCGGCAGGACCTATCTCTTCACCAAGCTCCGCAGTCCAAGCATTGCGTAAAGCATCAGAGGTTATTGTCTGAGTTTTGAGAAGAGTATTGTACAATGTTGAAATAGAACCTTTGAGGATGGGGTTAACACAAAGTATGGTATCAGTGAGAATAGAGGATGGGAGGGCAGGGAAGCAGGGAAAATGCCTGCGAACAAAATCTCTGACTTGCAAGTATCTAAAGAGGTGACTGGGCTGCAAATTGAAAATCTGAGTTAGCTGGCTAAAGGAAGCAAATATGCCACTAATATAAAGCTGTTTTATTGACACAATACCTAGGTCTTTCCAGATCAGAAAAGCCTTGTCCATAACTGATGGAGTAAACAGAGGGTTGGAATGAATTGGGGCTGAGACGGGTATATCCTGTAGCCTAAAGTGGCGCCTGAACTGATTCCAGATTCTAAGGCAGTTTTTCACTACAACGCTACTAGAGTGTGCAGTTGATGATAAAGTCAGGGGGAGGCACAACAGAGACATTAGGGAAAAGGGACTACATGAGGCTTCTTCAATCTGCAGCCCTGTTTTATTTTTTCGATTTCTAATTATTAATGGTGGAGGATGTTTTTCCAGGTGGATCAGTAAAATAAGTGGTCCTCCCAATTGTCAATCGTTCTGGTGAAATGTTTACAGGTTTGCAGGAAAAGATAGCTAACGGGACGAACACGTAGGACAGCCTTATGTAAGCATTTCACCAGAATGATTGACAATTAGGAGGACCACTGAGTGAGATGATCCACCCAGAAAAAGAAAAGAAAATCAATATCTTTTAATTTTCCCCTCCGGAAAAGCAGGCCGCAGTTTCAGCACACCAGAGACCTTTAAGGATTGCAGTTCCAAACGACAGATTTTATTCCTTTTTTTGAGAACAAACCTCTCACTCACCTGTAGTTATGATTTTTGCCGTTTCATGTGATGCTGCCGCTTACCTAACCGCAACCTGAGAGTAATCCTGCAGATACAGTAACGCTGGGGAGTTATTTAATTTCTTCTTTTTTTTTTTTTTATCACCCACAAGAAAAATTGAATTAATTTATTGAAATTTGTTTGTTTTTCCCGGCCTAGATTAAAGTATAAGTGGTTTTTATTGCAGGTAGCATAACTGCATACGACTGCATTATTTATTAGTCAGAGTGAGGAAAACTGCACCCCTAGTTTACATTTGGAAAAAAACGATCTTACTGTTGAGTTGTTGACGTATAACGCTGTTTTTCTCTCTCTCTGTCTCTCTCTTCTTGTACAGAATGATCTATGTTCTGGTGAGCTCCTAAAGAGGTCAGGAGGATCTGCCCCTACAGTAATGACCAGACACTATGATCCAAGTGCTGGAACACTGGACCTGCTGGAGACCACTGATGAGCAACACCAGTCATTTCAAGTGGACGAGAGCCCCCACCCCCCCACCACCATCACCCACTCACAGTGCAGAGAGTCATTGGGAAACTGTTAGCCTCTAAAAACTGTCGGCTGCAGCATTTCCTTTCAAATGCCACAGACAAAAATCTGGAATCGCAGACAAGTTTCTGTTTCCCCTTTTTGTTTTTGGTATATTTTTTTTAATGTTTGGTTTGGATAAAATTAGTTTTCCATTTGAGCTGGGAATCTATTCTGCTTGTTTGTTTTTTCATGTATAATTTTGAAGTTTAACAGCTGCTGTTCTCAGACTGCCTGGTTTATTATCTATAAGATCGTAGCTGAAGAAGTGATGAAATAACAGAAAAGATATCCAACAGTCTTGTTTTTTTTATTAAAACTTTAAATATTTCAACTCCACCATGTTCTCCATGTCCGATGTTTAGTTTCATCACTTTGAATCCAGAAAGGTTAAACGAGTTCAAGTGGTTTCTGTTGTAAATTTCTCCTTGTTGCTCAGTTGAGCAAAAGGTGGATTTAACCGTGAAGTTCTTCTGCTCAGAGAGTCATAGCGCTTCAGTAGCTAGCAGCAGATGTGCCATACTGGTGACTGTATATTCTTTTTGTTTGAACATAAATAGTCCTCATTGTTAGCATCTCTGGTCTATTTATTGATCTCTGGATTATTTTTTTTTCTACCCTTTGTGACGTCAAGCACTCCTGAAATGTGACTCATCTCCACCAAACATGATTTAGTCCAGTAAAGATAATTTAGCTCAACTTTTCACTGGTTTGGGAATAAGTTTTACAGGCATTTATATGCATCATACCTTTGTTTGATTTAAGAAAAATATTTGAATCTACAATAAACTCCTATTATCAAACTGTTTTTTTATTCTGCCATGTAGTCCTAGAATTTATCTACTCTTCAATCTTTGATCTTTAAACACAAAAAGCAAATTTTAAAAGATTTACCAGCATTTTGAGGATTAAATAAAGATCCAATAACGGCAAATGTACTGAATATTTGAATGACATTCGCTAGTATAGATTAACTATTATTTAGTATCTATGTAAAAAAATAATTTGACCTGAAAATAAAGAAAAAGATTTTACAGCCCATATTTTTATTAAGAAAACTTGTTACATTTAATCCAAAGGAATAACCAGATCTAAGCTTTTGGCTCATTCAAAAGCTCAAAAGAAGCAATATATTATTCTTTAACAGTTCACCTCTTAGAGGTGCAGAAAAGAAAGAAGAGTTTCATTCAATAGTTTTTTTCCTCTCTGAGTCAAAAACATTTTAGCCAGAATCACAGAGACAGCGATCGCCCATTGGGAGCCTCTCTGGTTTCATTATAGGCAGCATACTTCTCCCGAAACTCATGCAGAAAGTTGTACTGCTGCAAAAAAAAAAAAAGAAAACATTCAATCATAAGCAAATAACTTTATAGACAAATCCCCAAAATCCAGCCTCACCTTCACAGTTTGTATGGCACTTCCCCCTCTGTGCTCTCTGAGGAACTCGATGGCTTGGTTGGCAGTGAGTGTCGAGGAGAGCTGGAGCAGCAGGCAGGCGGCGACTGAGGAGACAAGTGCTGAGTTACAGAAAACGCCTAAAGCTAAATGAAAACATTGCCTCATAAAGGTTGGCAGTCCTTACTAAAAGCAGATCGTCCCAGGCCTCCATAGCAGCTGAAAGGGGAAAGAAAAAAGAAAAATTATTCACCAAACTTACAGGCAGAGGGCTCAGTGGTGACCATAACACAAAGATATCATCAGTAGACATTTTGACTCTACGTGAGGTGATAATCAACCCTCTGATGGATCAGAGTGTTTGATCTTCACCTCTGGAAAGCATGATCCTCTCATCAGCAGTTAAACCAAAAAAGATAACCTTCAATAGGGATAAAGAATAAGAATTTTAAAAATAATTGACCTTTATTTACTCTCACACTGGAAATTCACCTCTGCAGTTACCCCATTCTCTTGGGGAGCAGTAGGCTGCCACTGTGCGGCGATGGGGGAGCAATTGGGGGTCTTTGCTCAGGGAGCCAGGATGGCAGTCTGTTGGAATGAGTGGGACCCAAGTCCAATGCTCTAACCATCACCTCACCTCATATTATATAATGAAACCTTTAAAGTTCTTTTTAAATAGGAAATAACCAATCATTCTACTGCATCTTGCACCATTTGTATTTTGCGCTGCATTGAAAGTTTCCATATCAATGCCCACCATTATTTTTAAACTGGTTTTCCTTTCCTCCTACACCGTTTACATTCTGATCACTGCTCTTAAGAAATGGTTATGTTCATTTCACTTTTATAAGCAAAGTAATTTCGTTTTGTATACACTGAGTATACAAAATGACAATAAAGTTAGTCTAATAGAAGTTCAGTGAAATGTCTATTGAAGTTCAGCCGAAGCAGCTTCAACAAAACTCAAATGAATGATTTCAGAAATGGTCCCAAACTTAAAAAAAAAAAAAAAAGGGATCAAAACAGGAAATGGAGCAGGCGTTCATGTTTTCATTTCCTCTAATCGTGACGTGCTGACTATAAGTGTAAAAACTCGCTTACTTTGACAATCAGGCTTTAAAACCAAAATCTTCAAAAAGTGTTCCTTAGATCTAAATTCAAACTTTTATATTTTGAGAATGCTAAAGTTTCCCTGTAGCCGTGCATCATGAAGCTCAAACATTAGTTCATGAGAGGGAGGGCTCCTACTCTTTTTTTATTTAACATTTTTATGTTTTATTTTTTTTCCCAATGAAGCAGCTCAGCTGTCAATCACTCTTCAACAAGTTCCAGTTTTTGTATTTTTTCCCCAAATATTGGAACCCATCTGGAAAAGCAGGATTCAAAGGTTTTATCCCATCTTCTACACATACCAATGCTACATTTTCTCCTTAAGGAAACCCATGCTAGTGCTGATTTCACTCACTGGATCACGGTCCTCCTGTTGCTTTCAAGGCAGCGCTGCAGCTCCATCAGGATCTGGCAGCACTGCTCTAAGTCGGGGACGTCTCCGTCGGGGAAAGGCGTGTGGTGCACGGTGAAGCCTTGCTGCTCATAGACCTCCAGGAGGGTGGGGACTCTGTAGATGTGAAGCTCCCCTCTGGTGCAAAGGACGAACAAGTCCTGCACCCCCTGGTTCTTCAGCTCATCTGAAAGCAGGAAGCAAAATCTGGGCATCAACAGGCTTTCCTTTTTTTGTAAATAAATACTAATTAAATATATTAATTAAAAGCTTGGAGAAAAAAAAGAAACAATACAAAATAATAAATAAAACATTGAACTTGACTTCCAGGATTCATGTATTTTGTGATTAATTGCCAGCTGAGCAGATTATTTAAAGCCTCACCAACATCTCTCTGCAGGGACCTACGAACATCTTTAAATTTGCAACCTGGAATAAAGAGAAAGTATTACGATGCAAACATTGGTGTCCTCATGATTTCAGGTGAGCAGGATTTTTACCTGGTAGAGCACATATTCCCAGGTACTGTGAGCATTCAACTATAGACAGAGGTAACCTAAAACCAAAGTGGAAACATTACATCATCATAAGCTAGAAGCTGCTGGTGATAAATTTTCATTTCAAATGATTTATTTTTCTTTTTTTGTACAGTTTATTATAACAAACCTCAATGTATTTCATAATAATGACAGATCAGGGAGGAAGAAGCTAATTTCAATGAGAGGCGACTATAATACTGACTCAGAGGGGCTCAGTTCAAATGTAAATGACTCTAAAAATGTTCTTTTAATTCGATCAAACCTTCCACCTCCCAGCTATGCACAGCTTTCTGCATCAAATCACTGGAAATTCACTGAGGTTTGAACAAATGGCTGAAAGGTGATGAAAACTTTTGCATGTTTAGCTTCATTTACCAGCTAATGTGGAGCGGAGTCAGCTGTCCTTCATCCAACTCCTCATCCTCAGAGGAAGAGTCAAACTCAGTCGTCCTCATTTCTTCAGACAGAAAGCTGTCACAATAACACAATGTTCAGATCAGATCATTTTTAAATGACATTTAGCAGAATTAAACCGTCTGCTTTTTCTCAGGCATCATTTTTAATATTTTTCCACAATATATAAAACATGTCTAACGGATATATAAGTTATACGAAAACAAAACAGGTCAGACATAAGTCTATTTTTATTTATTTATTTAAACATGCTAACATGCTAACGTTAGCTGATTGGACTCTACGTCAAATTAAACAGTTTAAATAATTAGCAAAGCAATCATACATACAGCAGACATAGAAAGAAAATAGTTTTTAAGATATATATACATATATTTCCATACTTTAACGTATTTTCCACCTTTCTCGCTCTCTTCTTGTCAAATGTTTTTACAACCGAGCAATTTAGAAACTACAATTTGAAAAAACACCCTTCAAAGCTGCCATCCAATCAAATCAAAGAACGTACTTCTAACCCCGCCCACAGCAGAACGTCACCGGCGCAAAGTGGCGTTCGATTTATTAACCTGGGCAAATAGGATGAGCGGAGTAACAAGACGAATAACCAGCCTTAATTTTACATTTCTTTTTCTTTTCAATATATATAAATAAACAAAAGACATTTTTTTTTATCTTAACTGAGAAAGATGTAATTATGAGAGAATAATTTTCTCTGAAAAATAGCCAAAGATTCACAGTTTCTACACATGTGTGCTGACTGTTGATTCACAACTGTTATGTGGAGATATGATTGCGTATAATCTGTACATTGTATCATATCAATTACCCTTATAGAAATAGTAACTGTCTGTCAATATTATTCATAGCCCTTGATTATTTGTTGATTTTTAAACTAATAAAAGCAAGTTCACAACTTAGAAGAGAAAATCTCACATGAAAGTAACATGTTCATTGGTATTGAGCCCCTTATTCATTCAAACTCCCCTAAATGAAGTAAAGTTTAACAAACTGCATTCAGAAGTCATCTAGACAGTAAATCTTTGCAGACAGGGCAGAGACAATATTGCGGGGTAAATAACAGTGAGATTAGGTTATTAAAACTGTCTCAGTTACACACATCACCCCAAAGTAGCAGTTCTCACCATTAAACATGGAGGTGGTAGCATCATGTTGTGGGAATGCTAGTCTTCAGCAGAGACTAGGAAACAAGTAAATTAGTGTATTGTTTAAAATAAATGGCTGGAAATTTGGGGAGAAAACCTTCAGGGAGAACCAGTGGAAAGCTTTAGATCAAAACATATTAATTTCTGCAGAATGACCTAGTCAAAGTCCAGAATCATATTCATAATGGAACAAGCTGGGATTCAATACACCCCTCTGCTACAGGCTGCTAGACTTCCTCACCAACAGACCTCAGTCAGTCCGGGTCGGACAGAACACCTCTGATGTCATCAGTCTAAGCCCCTCCCCTCATGGCTGCGTCCTGAGCCCCCTGCTGTTCACCCTGATGACACACGACTGCGGCCCCAGGTTTACCACCAATCACATGGTGAAGTTTGCAGACGACACCACGGTGGTGGGCCTCATCAGAGACGACAACGACCTGGACTACAGAGAGGAGGTGGAGCAGCTGGTGGAGCAGAGATAACAGCCTGATCCTGAAGGTGGAGAAGACCAAGGAGATCATGGTGGACTTCAGGAAGAAGCGGCCTAACCACGCTCCACTGCTCATCAACAGCTCAGCTGTAGAGGTGGTCAGCAGCACCACATTCATCACAGACACCCTGACCTGGACTGGAAACACCACCTCACTGGTCCAAAGGGCCCAGAAGCACCATAGAGAGCGTTCTGAGCAGCTGCCTCACTGTTTGGTGTGGAGGCTGCAGCGCCTCAGACTGGAAGAAGGTGAGAACAGCAGAGAGGATCATTTGGCAACTCTTCCCTCCTTTAAAGAAATTTCATCCAAGAGCTGTGTGTCCCGAGCCTGTGACATCATCAAAATATATATGTATATATATGTATATATGCCTATATATACATGTATATATGTATACATGTATACAGTACAAGATCAATAGAGGCCAGGGTCTACCACACCAGGCAGGACCCCCGATGCAGACTGTGCAAAGATGCCTCTGAAACAATACAGCACATAACAGCAGGGTGTAAAATGCAGGCAGGAAGTGCATACATGGAACGCCACAACCAGGTAGCTGTCATAGTGTACAGGAACATCTGCCATGAGTATGGGCTGGAAGTCCCAAGGTCAAAATGGAAGACACCTCCTAAGGTAGTTGAGAATGACCGAGCTAAGGTCCTATGGGACTTCAAGATCCAGACTGACAAACAGGTGACTGCTAACCAACCAGACATCGTGCTGATGGACAAACAGCAGAAGAAGGCAGTAGTGATAGATGTGGCAATCCCAAGCGACAGCAACATCAAGAAGAAAGAACACGAGAAGCTTGAGAAATACCAAGAACTGAAGGAGGAGCTAGAAAAGATGTGGAAAGTAAGAGCAGCAGTGGTGCCAGTGGTAATTGGAGCACTGGGGGCTGTGACCCCCAAACTGGGAGAGTGGCTACAGCAGATTCCAGGTAAAACATCAGAGGTCTCTGTCCAGAAGAGCGCAGTCCTACGAACAGCTAAGATACTTCAACTCTATACCGACACTCAGGAAAATATTCGATACTCGATACCATTTTCAATACCACAAGAATAAAAACAAAGACTCCAGAATTCTACAGAAATATTTTCATTAATAAATAAAATACAATAAATAAATACAATAAACAATAAGAACAATATTTTGAGGTTGAATGCTGTGCATAATATTAAGCAAGATTGATAAAAAACTTACAAAATTAAAATGAAGTGTTCCTTCCTTGGCTATGCTTTGCACACATAACAATGACACTAGCCAAACCGGTTAACAAAAATAATTCTCAGCAGCTGCACCGATACTTTAAAAAAATGAGTATTGTATCCGGATACAACGTTTCAGTATCAATACTTTTTTGAGTGTCGATACTTTTGACAACCCTTATATATACATACATACATACGTATATATATATGTATATATATGTTTTTTTCTTCCACACTGTTTACATTTGATCATTGCTGCACTTTATGGAATTGAAATGAAAAGCTGTACTAAATGAAATGTTGCATTGTATACACTCTGTATACAAAATGAAAATAAACATTGTATAAGTCTAATCCTGAATTATATTAAAATTTCAACAGCAAAACTTAAAAAGAAAAACTAGATATGTGGAGCAGATAAAGAAGAACCTCAACAAACTAGCGGCAAATTTTTTTGCATTTTAAAATCATGTTTCCATTTAGAAGACCTTTAAAATCATGACTTTAACTGTGAAGATCGTAGGCAACTAAAGGTTTCAGTAATATAGAGAACCTATATTTATTGACATACACAAATGATTGCTTTGCATCTGACTGCATTCCCTCCTCTGAGGCATCTATGAGGTCTGCCTCCTCACAGGCGGAGATCTTCTGTGGACACGGAGCAGCACAAGGAGCAGCACGAGCCTTTCAACAGCCAACTGAGACAAAGCGACAGGAGTATAAAAAACAGAAGACTTTTTAACATCCCAGGACTAAATGCACATCAGGTGAGCTCCTTTTGCAATACAAGTTATTATTTGATTCTTTTTCTTCATGGATACCAGAATTATTGCGTATAACTGATAAGATAATTAGAGTTTTATAACCTTACAGCCCGTGATGCATAGTTACTAATTGATATGATCAGATCGTTTAAAACCATACCTGCTTTTTGCTCAATTCTGTTTTGATATCTATTTAAATTACAAACTTTTTTGCATTTAGCCTTTTGATTTCATATTCTATATCTATTTTTCTGATCTCTGCCTGCCCTTCTGTTAGCAGACTTATAAGGAGGGCTCTTGGCTTCTGCAGCAATCCCCCCTGCGGGGCTGAGCTCTTTTGGCTGGCTCAACACTTCCTTAGCAGAGGGGCTGCTGGCAGGAGCCACATCTGAACAGGTAACGCAGACAAACAAGCAGACAACAGACAAAAACTGTCACTGGATCCAGCTTTTGAAAAAGTAAAGATTATAATATATTTGCTGGGTTTCCTTCTGACTCTTAAACAAGCAGGCAGATTGTATTCGCCGCACGGTTTGTGCTCATTAGTCACTGAGTGTTTGCAAACGGGCTTGTTTGTGTCTTTCTCTGCAAAGGTCATGAAGCCTCGAGAGGCTGAGCTCGTCACTGAAATCTCAAAGGTATATTTCTCTCATCAGCAACTTGGTTTAGTTAAAGAGACAGTATGTGTAAACTTTCCCTCCTACTATTTTAATATTATCAGCAACAGCAGATTATTCCTGTCCAGTGTGGAAAATTTACATTTTTCTTTTTTAAGTTATCTTAGAGCTACTTCATATGTGCTGAATCTTAGGAAGTGTTTCTAATACTGACCTATGAATGGAGGAGTCAGCATTTTCCTCAACTTCATGCATAAGAAAAATATTTTTAATGTTTCTTTTAATTTCTGATTTTAATTTTTTTTTTAGATATTGTCATTTTGCTGGTGAAGAATCACAGTCATCCAGGTCATAATCATTCCAAAAAGTGTGTTTGTTTGAAGTTTGAAGACGTTTGGCCTCCCATCCAGGAAGCTTTTTCAATTCAAAATGTCAGAATTAGAGTTGAATTACAAACTTTATAAAGTGGCCCAAAAACAAAGAAAACATGCAAATTGAACCAAAGGACGGGTCCACCCCTTAGGAATGAGGAGTTGTTTGGGTTCTTTGTTAGCCTGCAACATCCTATACTGGTCTACGCCTCTGAAAGGGGGGTCGTTAGGGGGAAGTGTTGGCCTGGCTGATCAGGCGAGATGTTTTGGTCCCGTTTGGGTTCCGATGATAGCGGGAAGGAATCAACTCTATCGCTGCGTTGTAGGTTTTTGAAAGCTGAAACCTGAGTCCACCCTCTCTGTTTGAGGTTGTTGTTTTTTCTTAACATAAATGGCTTCCTTAACACCCCTTTCAAACCACATGTCTTCTTCTTCTTTCTGGTCCTCAAATAAGTGTCCTTTGTCCTTTAAGGTGTAGATGGACAGCCGAGTCTTGTCCAGAGGAGGGCGCTCTCCTATGTTGGTTGAGAGGTTGTTTGGTTTGTCTAAGGGTCTCGTTTGGTTTGTTCTGTTGCTTGTTGATTTGACAAACACCCAGTTTGGGTATCCACAGGTTTGGAGAGCATCTATTTATTTATTTTTTTTAATTTTTTGAGTTTTTCCAGCACTAGTGGCTGATTTTTCTGACAGTAGGCTGACAGGAAAGGGGGATGAGAGAGGGGGACAGACATGTGGCAAAGGACCACAGGCTGGATTCAAACCCGGGTCCACCGCATCGAGGACTAAGGCCTCCGTATATGGGTCGTGCGTCCTAACCACTGCAACACCTACCCTCCCTGGAGAGCATCTTTGATGTGTCTCTGTGGGAAA